GACAAAATGGTGACTGGAAAAGCCTTCTTGAAGTCAGATTGCTGATGCTGTTGTTCTTCATTTTTTCTATGCCTTAAAGCTTCCCGGGAGCTTCCCGTCCTGAATCTCCAAATTTGATAGCATCTGTACTCGCAGTTTCATGACTTCAAGTTGATAGAACTAAAAACTGGATATATATAAACTGTATAATGAATACTAGTTCCCTTAAATCCTTAGCCATTTGAAGGATGTCCACTTCTCTTTCACTTTGGACACCGCCTCAAAATCAATATGTACTACTGTACCTTACTACATACTGCATACCTGCCCATGATTGTGGCGCAGTTTGACATGCTGCATAGGAACTGGAGCCCGAACAACATAACATGGCTGGAATTCAGTTTTTATATTTTTTGTGACTCTTCATAGACTCTTGATGATTGCCAAGAAATAAATGTTGTATGATGTTATATGTCGGTTTGCTAGGTGAGAACTTCCCTATAGCACAGTTTTCTCCTGCGTCCCATTTGTCAAAGATAATGGTTCCCGGATGTTCCCGGCACAAATGCAGAAGAAAATAAGAAGCAGAAGCAACCACAGCGGCACCGGTATCAACTTGTTGTTTCGATCCGCAACTGGCTCTGCTGACGTCTTCTCTCACTTCGATCAAGCTCCTCACGGCAGTGTTCCCCAATCGTTAGCCAGGCGCCAGTCACAGTTTGATGAGCCCAAAGACCAAACTCACCATTTCGTGGACAAATTCAAACAACTTGTCTTGCTATAAATGCAGTGGGATATTTCTTGGCTCGGAAACCTCCCGCTGCGGCAGGATGATAATTTCCAATTTGATGCATCTGCATGGGCGTACTACTTGTACCATTGTACCAATTTCAATCCAATTGACACCTTTGACTATTGAAACTTCTCAGTTGGAAAGCTTCGCCAACACGCAGTTCAGCGGATCTCCTTTCGCAGGTGCTTATGCCTAAGGGTGGAACAAATACCAAGCCCTGTGGCCATAGGAAAAAGATGATAAAAAAACTCGCAGGTGCCATGAGTCATGAGTGTCAACATGTCGAGCAAGTTTCCCACCACAGGTCAGATCCCCAGGAAGGTCGGAATCAAATCAGACGACATGGCCGCAGTAACAACACTACTTCATTCAGTAGAAACTGCTGAGGCACTTGGGTTCACATCGGCAACAAATGCAACCAAGCAGCCACCAAAGCAGAAGCAGTGGAGGACTGATACTTAAAGGTGGCGGGCAGGGACTTCACACGCTTGTAGTACCTGTCACCATCATCGTTATCATCGCTGTCTTCACATCAATGATGCTGGCTCAACCCCCCTGCCTGGCGAGGCGATGAATGCGGCTCTCCACCAGAATCAGTCGGAACTTGGCATCCTTGTCCTGCAGCGCCATCCGCGAGATCCCACTTTGGGAAGGTAAACATATTGCGAGTAAAATATATATATTGAAATATGGCGCTTGGTCAAAATTCTTTCATCTGCAAACGGCCATTCTTCGCGAAAAATAAATTTACTTTCGCGAATCTTTCTCGAACCCACGTTTTTCTTCCGCGGGGTTATGGTTGTTCACTTTGCTGCTGCTGAGACGTATTCAAACTGCATGTAAACAGCAACTGTAGACAGCCTACGGTGGGTGCAAGGCCACGTTATGATAATCCCACCAGGAAACCACAGAGTATCATTTGCAAATCAACCACAAATTCCACCCCGTGAATCGTGCTTGCTGTGCAGCTCCATTTGATTACAAATATATAGCACTTGGGTCTATTCTATTCATCCTTCAATTCAATTCAGCAGGTTCTCACTTCACACCTAGAAAAACAAGAGAATGTATGATAAACCGCCTCATCAAAATAAACTTTCGCTAAATCTTTTGCCAAAAAAAACTTACTTTCGCGAACTCAGGAAAAGCTTTCGCAGGGTCTCATGTTGTTGCACCGGCGGCCTTCGTAATGGAGAATCCCTACATTGACCTTTAGATTTAGATCGGCTCCCATATATTAAGATATAAAATCATGGGATGTTTCTGATGGGACTGGCTGATACGGATCCCAATCCATTCAATCAGATCTTTGCTTCCTTTTAAAATCTTAAAACCTCTCAACCGTTTGTTGCTCAGCAGTGGCTGGTCTGCGGCAACTCTGTAATTATGACCTCTTCAAACCGAGTTTGGATTTTGGTGTGCAGTTGGAGAACACTCTGAGGACCATCTGAAGACCATCCACTATCAAAATGTTGATCAGGCCTCACTCTTCGATCTGAGCTTGAAACGATAACATATTGTGCAAGTCGGTTACAAAAGGCGGCGATTTAACTGCCCCATGAGTTTTGGTATGTTTGGGTACAGTATGGTACAGTATTTCTCAAAACATCTCAAAGCCACCTTGCGGTTCTTGTCCAAGTGCTTGCGCACGGACACTGCCTTCTTGATCAAGAAGTACAAGTCCTTTCTGCAGTGACCCTCAACAGCCAGTGTCCAAGGGTATCAAACTCTTGCAAGGATGAGGAAATCAAAGTGCGCTGTTGACTTAGTTCATGAACTTCCAAGTTCAATGCTTTCAAACTGTGAACATCGGAGTTCCGATCCGGAGAGCCACCCAAAAGTCGGATTCGAGTCGGTTTCGGGTTTCGGGTTTCGGGTTTCGGGTTTCGGGTTTCGTCGATTGAAACCAACTTTCGCTGTCGGTTTCGGGTTTCGGGTTTCGGGTTTCGTCGATTGAAACCCACTTATTCGCTGTCGGTTTCGGGTTTCGGGTTTCGGGTTTCGTCGATTGAAACCCACTTTCGCTGTCGGTTTCGGGTTTCGGGTTTCGTCGCTTGCAAAACCAACTTTCGCTGCCGGTTTCGGGTTTCGGGTTTCGGGTTTCGTCGATTGAAACCCACTTTTGCTGTCGGTTTCGGGTTTCGGGTTTCGTCGCCTGAAACCAACTTTCGCTGTCGGTTTCGGGATTCGGGTTTCGGGTTTCGTCGATTGAAGCTAACTTTAGCTGTCCGTTTCGGGTTTCGGGTTTCGTAGGTCGAAACCACCTTTAGATTCACCAGTACGATGCCGATCTCACATCACCCAAGTGTCGTTCTCCATGCAGTCGTCAAAAACAAGAGCGGTGAGTGACAAGCGCCTGAAAAGGTCAGAGAGGAAAAACGGCAACGGTTTGGGGGAAACCTGCCAGCATCCGTAAGTAGCTGTCACTGAGTGGATTAGATTAGATTAGGTAGATTAGATTAGATTAGATTAGATTAGGTAGATTAGATTAAATTAGACAGATTAAACTAGATTAGATTAGAAATAGATTAGATTAGGTAGATTAGATTAGATTAGAATTGGATTAGATTAGGTAGATTAGATTAGATTAGATTAGATTAGGTAGAGTAGATCAGATTAGATTAGGTAGATTAGATTAGATTAGATTAGGTAGATTAGATTAGATTAGATTAGATTAGATTAGATAGATTAAACTAGATTAGAATTAGAGTAGGTTAGGTAGATTAGATTAGGTTAGGCTATATAGATGAGATGAGATTAGAATTATATTTGATTAGATTAAATTAGTTTAGGTAGATTAAATTAGACCAGATTAGATAGATTAGCTTAGGTTAGATTAGATTAGATTAGTTGGATAGATATGATATGATATGATATGATATGATATCATTAGATTAGATTAGATTAGATTAGAAATATTAGATTAGGTTAGATTCGATTAGATTAGGTAGATTAGAGTAGATTAGATTGGAATTAGAATTATAATAGAATAGGTAGATTAGATTAGATTAGATAGATTAGATTAGATTGATTAGATTAGATTAGTTTTGGTTAGATTAGCATCTGATTTGATTAGGTAGATAAGATTAGATTAGAATTAGATTACTTAGATAGATAGATTAGGTTAGAGGTAGATTAGATTAGATTAGGTAGAGTAGATTAGAATTAGATTCTATTAGGTAGAGTAGATAAGATTAGATAGGTTAAACTAGATTAGAATTAGATTAGGTTAGGTAGATTAAATTAGATTAGATTAGATTAGATTAGATAGATAAGATTAGAAATAGATTAGATTAGGTAGATTAGATTAGGATTGGATTAGATTAGGTAGATTAGATTAGATTAGATTAGATTAGGTAGATTAGATTAGATTAGATAGATTAGATAGATTAGATTAGAAATAGATTAGATTAGGTAGATTAGATTAGATTAGAATTGGATTGGATTAGGTAGATTAGATTAGATTAGATTAGGTAGATTAGATCAGATCAGATCAGATCAGATTAGATTAGATTAGATTAGGTAGATTAAATTACATTAGAATTGGATTACATTAGGTAGATTAGATTAGATTAGATTAGGTAGATTAGATTAGATTAGATTAGATTAGATTAGATTGGGTAGATTGGATTAGATTAGATAGACTAGACTAGATTAGATAGAATAGATTATAGTTAGATTAGATTAGATTAGATTAGATTAGATTAGATAGATTAGATTAGATAGATTAGATCAGATTAGATTCGATTGGATAGATTACATAGACAGATTAGATAGATTAGATTAGATTAGGTTAGATCTAGATTAGATAAGATCGGTCCTGGGGAAGTTAAGTCTTCAGAGTCGGTTTCGGGTTTCGGGTTTCGGGTTTCGGGTTTCGGGTTTCGGGTTTCGATCGGTCCTGGGGAAGTTAAGTCTTCAGAGTCGGTTTCGGGTTTCGGGTTTCGGGTTTCGCAGTTCGAAACCAACTTTACCAGTCGGTTTCGGGTTTCGGGTTTCGGGTTTCGCTGGTCGAAACCAACTGTGCAGACCTCTCTCCGGATCACGTCTCGAACATCGTAATGGACCCTGAAATTGAGCCTTTAACCATCGACCCTTCTATCCCTTTTGTTGCATCATGCAAGTCGTATCTGGATATATAAACATTCAACAACAGTGGCATTGCTATGGCATTGCTATGGCATTGCTATGGCATTGCTATGGCATTGCTATGCAGCTCCTCGGGTAAAGTGGGTCCAACACCGTTGGTCCTGTCATTTTGGCGGTTCCACAGGAACCCACCTTGTCGTAGCCTGAATTAGTATGTATATGTAATGTTGCTGGAGAGCCTATTCCATCATTTCCATCATTTGGGGCAGTCATATGTCGTCGTATATAATATATATATATACACTGTATATACACATGTAATATGTGATTGTTAATTACAGTATAATATGTGATTATATTAGTTACAGTATATATTATATATATATATTATAAGAATATATAATTATATCAACCTGCAAGGTCTGGAAATCCTCGATTTGGAGAAAATTACAACCACCTATGGCCACAAAACATGATACCAGGCTCTGGACAAGCAGTCGGTCGAATAAGGGGATGATCTTTCGGCCTACCGAAAAACCCGCACCTCCGTCTTTAGTGGTATTGAATAACGATGTCCAAACAGCCAAAAAACAAATAGCACAGCCTCGGTCGGTCTTGGTGAGTATCATGATTTTTGGGAATCGCGAAACCCGCTGTTGTCCCAGTCTACATCAAAGATTCCACAGTGGTCATCTACTTTGTGCTCCTGCCAACTGTGACTGGTCACTCTTTGGACACCACGTGACTCACTTGAGGTGACTTGCGCACCCTGCTACCCCATAAATGCGCCAGGTTGACTTCAGAATTCGCAGGATGTGATTGCCTGTCACTGCCTTCACCTGTGAAGCAATGTGTTTGAAACCAAAAATCTAAGAAATGCCAAAATTGGATCCATTGTTGGTAAGAACATGTATGAATTGCAAAAATCCATGAGGGTAGCACACGGAGCTACACGTACAACCTTTCACTTCAGCTATGCAATTAGCGTGTCGGATGTAAGCCTTGTGAGCAACAGCAACAGTGCGGACGAAGACCGCACGTGTTCCCCAGTCCACAAATCCATCCAAAGGTGCTCCCTTGATCATTCTAGAAACGGATTTATCTTATGTTAAAGAGTGTATAAAATTTAAATTCTTGGGGAACTTCATTTTGCAAACACATCCACAGCATTCCACAGCTCTCAGCTTCCATCGCCTGGGGCACGCCGAAGCTGTCCCTTGGCGCCAAACATCACTCATGAGATGAATTTTGCCATGTGCTGCAGATCGCAAGTGTGGTAAGCCTTTAAGCCATTTAAGCCTATTTATAATGTATAGTCAGGTTTGATAAAGCCCCCTATATAATTAGCGAAACCCATTCTCCTCAGATTTTGGGGCAATACTAAAGTCAATTAGGTGCTGTTTTCCCCCCTAATAATATTTTCCAACCCCCCAGTTAGCGCAACCCATCCGGGATCCCCAAATTTTTGGTGGGACTAATTTGCTATTACTCCCTTTTACTTTTTAATTCGGGTTACAATTTCCAGGGTTACTTAGTGATCCTTTCCTATCTTATTCCTATTTTGATTCGTCTCATGCTGGCGCATGTTTCTCATGCTTACCACATCCTGCTGATGCAACCAGTTTTTTTTTGCTGCACGGCTCATGTCTGCTGTCTCGTTTATGGATGAATGAAAGCAACATTATTTCGGGGGGTTTGGTTTTTTGACTCCCTGACTGGACCTTGTTGACCTTGTTGTTGACCTATAGGGCCTATAGGGGGCTTATTAATCCGGTGTTTACATTAGACTGTACATGACAACTTTTCGTACAAACATGGAATTCAGAGTCCGCTGGGAGCACCGATTCTTGACCATTTCAGCTTACCGAAACACATCTGTCCATCCTTACACTGTACAGCAATGCTTCCTGAAGTCAGGATGTCAAGTTGTTATGATGGAGCCATGACAGGAAGGATACGGATCAGTATGGAACAACCATGGACAACCCGGCAATTCCAGGAAATATTGATCAATCCTCACTGAAAAAAATAAGCGTGCCCAGCTAGGCCTCAAGGTGACGCCAATCTGGGAAGGAGCCAACCTGGGGTGGACAACCCTATGACCCTAGCACCCTATCAGGCTCGATCACAAGGGTCAGGGATGGTCAGGGCTAATCTTGACCGGGGCTCTCCTCATGCCACTACCAGCAACACAAACAAAAGTAAGTAAGCTGTAAATCAAAAGTCAGGGTCAGGATGTCCATGTCTATCCCCATTCAACAATCAGCAACAATGTAACACGATGTAACACGATGTAACATGTATAGTACGCGTATTTGTAACATGCATTTCCATTACACTAGTTCTGCCCAGCTTTGCAGCTTCGACCAGCTGCAAAGCTGCCAGAAATTCACCGAGCTCAGAACCCTTTCTTTGCGAGCTTGCAAATGTGATCCACCACATCCTTCCGCGCATGCAAAAACATGCAAACTTCTTGACTAAATCAAGACACAGCTGATAGATATGATATCATTATCATGGATATCGAGTGATATTGGTACACGGCATACATCTAGCCTATCAGATCCCTCTATGTACTGACATTTAGATACATTTGAATACATTTGGAACCGAACTTTGGCAGCCCCTGCATCCATCGCCCAGTGAGGAACCGGGGAGCAGATTCCGCTCTGCTAATGTCCACAGTGCAATGTACAGGACCAAGCTATACCAAGCTAAAGTATTAAAATGGTTCCTAAGAAATGGAGGAGATCGGATATTAATATCATGGCAATATGATGAAATGCGGACATTTGCTACTGGTTTGGAACTTCCCAATGAGAGAGTGGCAGATTCTCCAAGTGATGACTCTGTATCACTGACTGGAGATAGCCGGCAACATGTACACTGACTTTTAACAACATTGACGGTGGTGGGGAGTTTTGTGCCAAGGCTCCGTAGGAAAATGAACACATAAGCAAAAGCAACAGAAGCCAGACATGAATGTTGCTTCAGCCATTGCCAACATTGTAGGGAGAGCTTTCTATGTCTTGCATCTTGCATAGATTTGCTTTGCATGAGTATAATTATTCAGATATATTCAGTAGAACCTTCTGCTCCTCACCCTATCTTTCCCTTTCATATCCTTTCATCCTTTTCATCCTCGTCCTTTGCAGCAACCCTACCATCACACCACAGCGCATTCCTCCGACTTCATCTTGAGCCAGGACGGTGGGGTACGCTTGTAAGGGATAGCCGAAGAGGCCTCAGCGGCAAAGGAGCTGTGGATTTGATAATCTTAACATATTTTGACAAGGTCCTGACAGAGCTCAGCGCACTGCTTTTGAATGAGATTTAGGAGTAAGTAACATAAAGTAAGTTCAGATGGTGCATCCAAGTCACGATACCCTTTCCCTTGCCGTACATACCTCAGGGGATTGCAATTCTACAAGTAAGTGTGCAGCCAATGGTAAACACAGTTTGAAACACACCTGTACGAAGCACCCCGCTGAGCCGCAAACGTCCCATCTTGATGTGGCCTCGTGCATAGCCACTGTTGATTGTATTCAGTTATCATCTTGGGGATCAGTGAACTACATGACTCATAGACATCCGCTATCATGACTTATTAGGAACAATCACACACACACAATTCACACAATATAAATCTATGATTATCATTGATTATCTATGTATCGCCAATCTGCGAATTGCCGAGCCAGTATTTGCATTGGCTGGGTGCCAAGGCCGACAATGAATAATTTTCAATACCTGTATATCAATATCATTCAATATCTACAATACGTCCAGCTGGCGATTGGAGGCGTTCAAGACTGACAGCCACTGCACGTCAGCCTTAATGAGAAGACACTTCAGCTCGTTGATGATCAGAACAGCTGAGCTTGAGCCAGTCTGACGTTGCATTCCTTGTGGCTGTGCAGGTCATCGAAAGTTGGTCAGCATTGGAATATCAAACAGACCAACAGGGACACTTCGTAAATAGGTATCGGTATCGGTATCTCTATTAATTATGTGTTCAGCAAACCAATAAACATCAATAAATCAGGTCGTATAGCCCCCTATATATATATATACACACCTATCAACAGGGTTTCAATGGCTCAGGTTGGGAGAGCGTGACCCTTGCAGGTTGGCAAGAGGAACCCATGACCTCTTGGTTCTCAAAGATGGAAATCGATCAAGACATTCAAAAATACATGGCTTGGTCCACCTTCAATTGTATTTCTTTGCAAACCATAATTCACGGTTCAGATTCCCGTTTCAACAGATGGCACATCTATGACTGAAGAAAGTTCTGCGCCAGTCTTTACAACGAGGATCCCTTGAATTCCTTTCATATCACACTAGATGCAAACAAGTTTCAGAATCTCCGGATGTGTCATTATTTATTATATATATATCATATATAATATAAATATACGGCCAGGACGGGTGTGCTGCCCGGGGAAGTGCGTTTTGACTGCATTTTGGGATGTCGGCCAACTTGCAACTTGGCTGACGAGATTTGTTTCCAAAGCACAAAACCCTAAATCTAACATGAAACCCTAAGTACGCCTTGAAAGTAAAATCTTATTAAAACCGTGGTAAAACAAACCCTAAATATACTATACCCTAAAGAGTTGGTTAGATGATAAACCTTCGGGCGGCACACCCGGCCTGGAGGTACATATATATATATATATATATTGTATACGTATATTATATATATGTGGTGCAAGTGGTTTTGCGGCCCACATGGTCCCAGAGTGCAAGTCCTTTTTCCTGCGTTTCATCTTGTCAATGGACCCAAAGGATTGGTGCGACTGGGTACCTCAGCGGTTCTGTCGATGGGATGACTTTGAGAGCGCGTCTCTTAAGCTATACAGGGATGCCTCTCTTGAGCTTCAATTTCTGAGATACAAACATGGCAACAAACACACAGGAACAAAGTCCCTGCACTGAATCAGATGCGATCAACACCTGATCAATAAATCAAAGATTTGGCAACCACGCCAGGTACAGTATTCCAGTAAAGTACATCAACAGGTCTGATGTCTGGGTATCGAATAGAATACAGAGTCACGTATATCTGGCGCGAATTGCCGCAACTGCCACGTCACCCTCACCGCGAAACACAGGGGCTTACGATGGAGGGTTGCTTCAAGGAGAAAATGGCAGAGCCAGCACATGTAATGAAGAGGACCTCGGGCCAACGGAAATGCGCAGCATTGGCCAAGGTCCTATCGTTTTGATTTGTTTAGGCTATGTTTAGGCTATGTTTAGGCTATGTTTAGGCTATATATGACGAACTTTATTATATGTGATCTTCTTTGATCTTCTACAACAAGAGTTGGTGTGCAATACGACTCTTGCTTCTGCGAACATGGTGGGCAAGCTACTGAACTTCAGGCCCAGTTCATAAGGATATAATATATAGAACAACCTCCTCTTGCAGCAAGGCAAGGGTCTGAAGACATTTCCAGAAAACACCGAGCGTCAAGCCAAAATACAGCATAGGGCAATCACGTATTGGTGTGCCTGCCAGGTGTCACATGATCAATGCCCAACGCATCAACTAGTGACAAGCTCCAGTACCCCAGTATTTATTCCAACATATCTCAACTGCTTGATCTCAACAGGCGTCTCTTTTCCTGGCGTTGAATGTGCAATTTCTCCTTTTTCCATCTTTAGTTACCCTTCTATTTCCTTCCATTGAAGTCTGATGAAGTTATTTAAAGCTTCCGCATACCATGCCATCACAGCCGCACTCTCGGAGGGCCTCCCGAGCATCTTGTAGAAGACCTTCTTCCATGCAGTCCGCCAACTGGGTGAGGCAGGGCGATAGTCAGCTCTATTAGTCTTGGAAAGGTGGACAATGGTCACAATGGTGGACAAAAAGGTTGGCACCCAATTGTATCGGACAAACACACCCTACTGAATCTGACAATAAATATCGGAATATATACTGTATTCATGTGTATTCTAGTGTTATCTCATTGCCATTTTGATTCAAGATCAGCAATCATAATCAGCTATAAATGATTATAATTGCACCTATCAAACAATCCTCTGTAATTCATGGTAAAAATCTTTGTCTTTCAGTTGCCTTTGCTGATCAACAATAATCTGGCCCCACCTGCAAAGCTGGCAGCACTTCTCGCGGCTTCACCTCGCGGCGTCCATAACCTTTGTGGAACTGCCAGGCGACTTGCACAGGCAATGGCCAGTTGGACATTTGTGTTGAAGACATCGTTGAAAACCGAAAGGTAACAATAGAATACCAAAAAAACAAGCTATCTATCATATATTCGCATATATATATATATAACATATTGTAATATATATATATATGTAATAGTATAATATAATAGAATACAATCAAATATAATAGAATATAATAGAACATAATAATATAATAAAAATACAACAATAATAATAAATAACAATATATAATAATATATATAATAATATGTAATAATATATAATAATATATATAATTATATATCACTATATATAATGATTTTATGCTTATATGTATGCACCTGATTGATCTTGAATGCGCATTTCAAACTTCAGTTGAATGATTTGATCACCGGGCTGAAATTGGTTGAGTTTCATGGCAGCGACAGGCGCCCATGACCAAGAACCGTCAATAACCGCTGATCCTTGAAAGCGGATCGTATTGGCCAGCGCAACGACATGGAATGGCGGATCAAAAGGTCCTGATGAACTTGGTCTCTGGCCCACATCATCCAACATTGCCTGAGCCGCAGACATCCTAAACAGATCCAAACAAGCTCTAGATGACACATAGGAAACACTGCCTTGAATTTGAATTTGGAGTTGAATGATATATTGAATATATCATGTTCGATCAGACTACGGCACCAGTGTTTGGGGAGTACCCAAGGTGCTGTCTGCCCACCTTACTTCAAAGACGCGTGTCATCAAGACAAATCTCTCTGGCTACCTGTCAACACTCCGAGCCATCCAGATCGTCCAGTCTTGGACGCATGCACTTTCAGCCGGTTTGTTGCGGACACCTTGGCTTCGTCGGATGAGGAAGCCTTGAAGGTCTGTTTGAACATTTGATTATGAATCTTCGATTTATGATAGATTCTGTTCATACATGAAAAAAGTCACCAAAGCCCCATAGGAGGCATCAGGGTTTGCACAAAAAATCTTGTAAACTGTCGAGACATTCTGACTCTCCAACTCCTTTCTCGCACAATTAGCACCCAAAAACTACAGGTAAATGACCTTCGTTAAATGACATTCGTTTTCCTTGAATCGTCTCAGGATCCTGCTACACCCTAATACAATCTTTGATTCCTCATCAATTTCACCCAGGAACGATGGATCAGGCTGCGCACGAGGATGTGGTTCAAGTCTGCAAACCTGGGGAGCTCAGCTGCTCAGGTGCCCATGGAAAATCGATCTCAGCAGGGCAGCACCGGCCTGCTGAAGATCTGCAGTCGGTCAATCCTCTGGACTACGTCCTTCGAAGACACCTCAACTGTCACGAACTGTCATGAACTGTTGGGTGGAATTTGGGAGTCGCCCGGTACAATTGCATAGTATAGTAAATGTACAGTATTCTGTATATTTCATGAACTCACTAGTTGCACTTGATTACACTGTGTCCGTCTTTGTTCATACTTTTTCTTTTAACGACGTACAGGGAAGTCCCTGCAGAAAGTGCCACAGCTGGGGAGTTCCCACTGGGCATCCGCACCCTCATCTCTGGGAATATGCGCACCTCATAGGATGCCCTGACGCTTGTCGCAGGCGCTGCAAAAATGATGCAACATGGAGAAACCAAAGGGGGTTCCTGGTAGAAATTGGTAAAAACATTGGGGCTACCTGCGTTCCAACCTTCTACAATCTCTGGCTTGTTTTCACTAGTCATCAGTAGTATATAGTCTGTAAGCGTCCTCCAGCAGCTTTTCCATGAGATTAAACTGTCAGTCTTTGAGCAGAGCTTGCATGCCAAAGAATCATCAAAAATCAAGATGAGGTTTCTTTCTAACAATCGAAATCCAAAAGCCTGCTTTGGTAAAGATAATATTCAGAATAATGCATCACTTTGCTCATGTGTTTTGATGTCTTGGTCTCACGGTGCTACTGTACTGCTTCCAGGTCTCTCTCCTGATAATCCTGATATGATTCCATTCACAAACTATGGCAACCATGTTTGTTGGCCCTATGGCCAGCATGTTTGCCCCTGGCTCATGAGTGTCTCCATTGCATTTGCACTCAGCACGAGCATTTTAGCAATAGCAGGTTCTCCCCACAATTAGTAAATTAATGTAAATTACACCTTTCTTCCCAAACCATCCAAATCCAGCCTTGCACAAACACCATCCAACAAGCGACCATCCACGGTTGATTTTTCATGATGTTTCCGCCACCCACATGGATACTCTTGGACTCCAGCTTCACACGGGTGAAGTTCACTTGTTCGTTTAAGTTCTCAAACGCATCGTCCAATTTGCTGGCCTTGTCAGCCACAAAGCATTTACGTGGTTCTTTTCTCAGACCATACATAATACATAATTTGGCAAAATAGCGCCAAGTCTGTGGCTGAAACAAACCTCTGGAAACTCGGAATATACGTCAGAATTCACAATTGCATACAATTGTCATTGTATATTGTTAATTGCACTTGGGCAAGTCACATTAGTGTGAAGTCCGGGTGTGATGTGAAGCTAGGGCCAGAGCTTTGGAGTTCCGCCGCATCAACTGTGCAACCTTCGACATCCGGGGAGCGTCACGGGATACATCAAACATTTCAGGGATTCTTTTCACTGAGCTTGATGCACGCACCAAAACTGTGAAGTGAAGAAGCATATATATATTACTATACTGTATACTATATATATGATGTATATAATATAATTATTGTATATTATATTATATTATATTACATTATATCATATCGTATCATATCATATCATATTACATACGTATATACAATTATATACATATAACATAATATATAATATTTTTATATTACTATATATACAGTACACATCTAAATGGTATATCTACATGTATCTACAGAACTGATTTTCGGCATAGTTTGGTCTTGGCTTTGCATCACTCTAAAGGCCTTCAGGCCCTCCTTTCAAAGTCCCACTTCCCATTGCAGACCAATCTTACGCTGGAACAAAAAGCTGTCCTAAGAAAAGATGGAGAAACAGAGAAACAAAGTGTAGAATTTCAGGGACTTGGTCTCCGGGCATTTGCATCTGCTTCAATCAGCCTATGGCGCTGATGTTTAGGATTCCAATGGTCCTGGCGAAGACAAGAGAACATATTCGTGATGAATATCTCTCGCTCCGGGCTGTTGGATGAGTAGTCAAGTGCAAAAAGTGCTGAGAGAAAGCTCCCCACACAGGGCTGGTGTAAACATTGCTTCAATCCCAACAGCATTCTTCGAACAGACTTAAGCTGGCTGAGCTTTCCACATCCTTTCACATCCTTTCATGCTGAAGGTAGCGGATGGCCCCAGAAGCATCCCCTGGTCGCCCTGGTCGCCCTGGTCCTCTAGAATCTCCATGAGACTGTCGTCATTTCCCTTGATAGACATGTCCTGGCCAAGTTTCGCACGAATCTCTGCACGAGTGTTCTGCAATGCAGTGAAATTCAGTCAATCCTCGGATTCAGAGTTGAAATACCACAGAAATGCCGAGAATGACCCAAGAAACACTTACGCTGACTCTGTTGCTTATACCTACTGAGAGACTGAGAGAAACTGAGCACTTATGCAATGCCTCTGTCATCCTCTGTCTAACAAAAGAGACAACATCAAAAACAACGTCACATCCCAGCTATATCCCAGCCCTTCAGGGCCCAAGAATCATCCCACCGTGACGTGAAGGGACGATCTGCAAACCTTGCCATGCAGGTCGGTGTTGCCAAGGTGTGGTGAATAATTGGTCGGCCTGTGTTTCAAATCGAAACATATCGAAACAGAAACATATCGACCATACAATGTGCATACGACGTATACATGGTTGTACCACATACAAGATCATACAATTGTATACTAGCATCACAGTCTCAGGGTATCCAATGGAATCCTTGGGAATCTGACTGTGAGCAGGATTTGAGGACCCCACCTGCAAGGCCTCGGCCAAGGCCTTGGCATCGCTGTCAACGTCATTGGTCAAAAGGCACAGGTCCATCGGCCCATCAGGTTGGGAATGCTGGGGGGGAATCCAAAGTATCCACTTATCTCAACTTGACATTCCACTTGACGTAGATTTCATATAATTAGATATTGTCATGCATTATTATATCATGTTGTATATATAATTCATCGAAGGAAGTTTGGACAGATGAAAAGTAGAGCAGGGAAGAGGCAGAGAGAAGAGAAAGATTAGAAGAGAGAAGATCAGAGAAGAGAAAGAGCCAGAAGAAAGAAGATGCAGATGCGCGAAAAGGTAGGAAAGTCGCGAAACACTGTGTTTTTCCAATGATTTGGGGCTCCGGGGGGTCGAAAAGTAGGCTCGCCAAAGCGGCGGGTGCGGAGCCAGCTGGCCAGATGAGAGATGAAAAATTGCACGCCGTTGTGGCGCGAAGCACATTTGCAAGTCAAAATGTACAAAACACTAGGGGTGCGGGCCACTTTTGGCAGTTGAGATGTCGAAAAAGTGCACGCCGTTGTGGCGCGAAGCACATTTCCAAGCCAAAATGTACAAAACACTAGGGGTGCGGACCACTTTTGGCAGTTGAGATGTCGAAAAAGTGCACGCCGTTGTGGCGCGAAGCACATTTCCAAGTCAAAATGTACAAAACACACCATGTACGGACCATTTTTGGAGGTTCAGATGTCGTTTCGCGTGGCAGGCGCAAGGGATTGTGGACCTTGCCAAAAGTGAGCAAAACGTGAGGGTTTTGTAGCATTTTCAACTACAACCACCACTACATTACACTACACTCCAATACATTACACTACACTACAACTACAACTACAACTACACCTTCACTACATTCTACTACACTACACTCCACTACACTACACTGCACTCAATTACACTCAATTACCCTACACTACACTACATTACACTACACTACGCTCCACTACACTACACTACACTACATTACACTACACTACATTACACTACACTACCTTTCACTACACTACATTACACTACACTACACTCCACTACACTACACTTCACTACATTACACTACACTCCACTACATTACAACTACACTACACTACATTTCACTACCCTCCACTACACTACACTCAATTACGCTACACTACACTACATTCCACTGCCTTCCACTACACTACACAACACTATACTGCACTACACTACACTACACTACATTCCACCACACTACACTACCTTCCACTACCTTCCGCTACCTTCCACTCCACTCCACTCCACTCCACTCCACTCCACTCCACTCCACTACACTACACAGAATGACACTGCACCACAGATAGACAGGTAGACAGATAGACAGATAGATAGATAGACAGATAGTAACAGATAGATAGATGGATAGACAGATAGACAGGTAGACAGATAGACAGACAGACAGATAGACAGACAGATAGACAGATAGATAGATAGATAGCTAGATAGATAGATAGCTAGATAGATAGATAGATAAATAGATAGTCAGATAGGTAGTCAGAGAAAGAGAGAGAAAGAGCGAGAGAGATCAATCACCTTTCGATCCATCAGTGGCTTCGCTCAACCAACCTCTCCTATAGGTTTCCTATTTTTGAAACTTCCGCCACCGCCTTGTGCGGTACTACTGGTATCATATTAATTCTGTCCCAGTTGTGAACGTCTCATTGGGGAAACCCATGCTGTGCCAACCTGGCAGAGGAATCATCCCTGATTCTGTTGCCACTCAAACAGTTAAGCCCAACCTTCTGCAGCCTCTGCGATGAAAGCATGGGTTCAACCCATCAAGATTGCGCGCACACCACTGGAAGTCCGGATCTCCCCACGGTGCGCACGGAGTTGGTGAGTTGTCGCAACCTCACTGGATTCACGGCACCATGACATCAAGCTTTGTCAAGCACCATAACAAAACATAGGTGGCAAGTCAAAGGAAAAAATGTACCAAACGTAGAACTTGAAACCAAACGGCAAAATTTGCTGATTGGTGAGCACAGGAAGGTTTCACCACGACATGGTTCTCTGGCATCTGCCAGCATCTGCTATCTTAGTGCAGCTGAACAGCGGCCAACGCCTCATGGCATGACTGAGGTTGTCGCTGCTTCTTATCAGAACCATCCTGACCCCAGTGACCCCAGTGGAAAGATTGCAGATGACCGGATTTTATATTAGCATCAACCATTCCTGTTGATATACCCAGCTGCAGCGAAAACAAGCACATTGCACACATGGCAAAGTGGCAATGCACCTTAAACAAATCTGGAATGCATATCAGGAACAAACAAAACACACACTTGTAAGACAGAATGTCTGTTCACGAGGCTCATATCGTTTAGTTTAGTGAGTTTGCTCGTGATAGGCTGTTGTATCCAAACATGTTTAAAAATGAGAAAATGAGTACGGTTGCCGCTGTGAGTGAATCACAGAATTCAAAAATCGAAATGGTCTCGTGGCAGGTACGTCTGACTGATCAGGTCAGATATCACCAGCACTCATCCAGTGTCTTCGTTGGTGCAAGACTGGATGGGCTGCTTGCACCCCTTGCCTTAAGCCTTAAAACTGAAAAACTGAGAAATTCGTAAATCCCTTGGAAACAGGGGTTGACCCCAGACACACACACAAACAAACAAACATCCCAGTACAGAAATTCCTTGATCGAAGTGTTGCTGCTTATATACTATACGCATACCAGTACATCCATTCCTGCCCATGTCGCAAAATGTTTCCAAGAATGAACATGACAAAAATTGGACTAATCAAGGACCAAGAAAATCGCGAGTGCAAACATGTTCCCGCTTTTCTGACATGTATTGAATCATATTGAATCAATTTAAAACATATCAAAATGATCCAGACGAGACCTTCACCTGCTCTAACCTGCAAGGCTTGGAACATCGAACTGGGAACCAATTCAGCGGTTGCCCAAGTCCTCAAGGCCAGAACGAGCACCCATCAAAGTCACAACCAACCAACTGGACACCACCACCTGGCGTCATGCCCAGCATGGACAGGGAATGACAGGGACAAAAATTGCAGGGTCAGCGGATGGGATGAAACATGGTGAAACCTTTGGGTTTGCTGAGTTTGGTGGAGAGTAGGCGCACCTTGTGATTTCAAAGTCAGGGGCAAGCAAAATAATGTAGGAAAGGGAGCTTTTGCGCGTCTAGCGGAAGCAACATATTATCGATACTATCGGGTTTCCTGAGATGAGCATGGTAACCTGGTACTTCATGATCATTGCAGGTGTAAAATTGGTCTCCTGATGGAGTGCCTTGCACATTCAACTGTACCAAACAATCCAAAACAATATCAAAACAGTACCACACACGTGCAGAGCTGATCGCAATGCTTGAGCAAAGTAATGTCCCTCACAGGTATAGCAGTATAGCACTGAAACCTTTGCTTTCCAAGACTTGGTGTCACAGTTTGGTCTACATATTGGCCAAAGCACTGGAAATCATTCTGGAAATCATTTACCTGGGGAAACCATTGCTTCTCCTGGGATCGCAGACGACAGGCTGCACTGGCACCACAAGGGATCCTGCACCTCATGGAAGTGAAAAAACATGGACGACTACGCGGAGCCTTGTGAAGATGTCCTAACATATTTTTGCCTCTTCTCCCCCACTGTGACAACGAACATATCTACACTTGACACTTTATACAGTCAAGTCATTCGTCAGCAAGCAGCAGTGCAGAACATGCTGAAATGTGTTGAATTTGACCGACATGATAAACGATGATATAATGATATATGATAAACGCACTTGTCAAATCTTCGCCACTCCCGGCGTCACACCTTCATCCAAAGTGGCCGATCGGGAGTGGTTCCACTTCTCAGCCTTGCCAGACTTGAGCACAAAAGATCGCCCAAGGAACCAGAATGAACCAGAACACATCGAGAATTCAAGAGCGTCATATCGTAAAGACAGTCCAAAGGCTACCAACTACCGCAACTATGTGGAAGCTCAACACAGAGTTGGCTCGGAGTTGGCTCCTTATTGAATTCTCAGCCACAGATTGGCAATCTTCAGTTGTGATCTGACATGATCATGATATGATCTGATAATGTCTTGGAAACCTGCAATCAACGAAATCCTGGCTGCGTTGCCGTGGCTGCCCTGGCACCTCACTATGGCCCCTCCCCACAGCATGGGTGCTGCCTCACGGTAGAGAAGCGACGTCATGTGACTCTTCAAAGATGCAACAGATGCAATTCTCCCTCCATCTCCCTCTTGTCGTTCCAATTTTCAATTCACAGTATGTGTCAATATGTGTCAGCTGCCACACACCTTCTTGTGTCTCACTATCAAAAGGCTGATCTCACCCAATCTCACATGTGCTTTGTCGAAATGCCAAGTGTTCCACTGATCTCTCCATCGAAATTGACACGAGCTGTGATGCTACCAGCCACAAGACCAGGCAACAGAAGGAACCTCGCATCCGAAGGTGGCTGATGCAATCACGGTTGGAGATAAGGGTTCTTGCGGAATCTGTGTGGAGGAATACAAGAAATTCCCTAACGGGCGAGCACAGTCCCAGTGAACAACGGGGAGATGGAGCGTGGAACCGTTCGAAAGAACTCAGTTAACTTCAGTTACTTCAGTCTCCCTTGCGCTGCTTCAAACTGTGCTCCACGACATATCTTGCCATAAAGCGGACTAAAATACTACATATGGGGCTGTCTCAAGATTGGGACATCCCCAAATCCCATACTTTGTCATAATTTATCCCACTAAAAAGGCCATTTGTGTCATACTGACATTCTCAAGAAGAACTGCAAAGATGACAGCAGCACGCACCAACGGCACTTTGAAAGGTGTCAAGTATAGGTTCTTTGGCCATTGTCCGGGGCACAGTTCCACACACTTGGGGGATCATTTACAAGGATGATCAAGGATGTACATGTCATTGAAGCAAACCTGAGCAGCACTGACATTCCCATGGTCTTTTGATGTCTTTTGACTCTTAGGCGTTCTCACTCGTGGTAGATCATCTAAGGCTGTAACGACAGCGATGACACACAACTTGGGGTTGACACCATGGAAAGACAGGGCCTTCACGCAATAGGTGGTACAAAGAACCTGTGCTCCATCGTGTCATGTTCCATCCACAAGTCTTTTGCGGGAATGTCAGGGAGTCCAAGTCCAGTGCTCCCTAGGAAAGCCTGTTTCATGACTAGAGATGCTGCTTGATACTTTTCTGAAAATTTCTGAAAATGGTATGTGTTGCCCTTCTGTGTTGAAGAAATGGGACAAGTTTCTTTGTGGATTTCACCTTGAAAGGGCCGAAGGGCCGAGTCCATCATAGTCCATCCTGTCCAAACAACTCCAGGGACTCCCGAACTGAGTCACCCTGAAGGGTCCTGATCCTGAAAGGCCAGAAGGAAATCAAATCTGCCATCTTGTCAGAACATGTCAGAACAGCTGACTTTGGCGCGATTAGAATCTATTATATAGACATATATAGACGTTCAATCATCTGACCATTCATTTGGCCGACCTTTCAACTTCTATACTACTTCTATCACTATTATTGGCACTTGAACCGGTTAGTCATAGACTTCAAAGAACCTCATTGATTGAAGCATGATTCAAAGTTCATTATAGCATCTTCCTGCACCAACCAATCCAAATTCTTTGCACACTACGACTAGAATTTTGTTTGCCAATGTTTGCCAGTCCTTTCAAGAGTATGCAAAGTCTGGTCCACATCGTCTACGGATCTAGGGGTGCTACAACTGAATCCACTCAGATAAAACACATTCTATGGTCAAGTCTGAGACTCCAGCAAGAGCGATCCTGATCGCCATGAGGGATACAGGGTGCGCAGCCCATCTCCCTCTGAGCCAAGGAAAGACAAAGGAAATTGAAGGTTTCATGGAAGATCTGGGATAAATCTAAGTTCCGGCCAGCAAACGCATTTTGGGACTGGGCAGGTACCCAGGCCAAACGCAGTCAATCCAGTGGCTGAATCTACGATATCATCGATAGCAATGTGTCGATGCATGAGAATTCTTTCAAACCCTTTCCGCGGCACATCATTTCCATGTCATGCATACAATGCAACGGGAAATGCACATGCTGTGTGCTCTATACATTCCATGATCAGCGTATGTTGACTCCTGCTGTCTTTCATCCCCCATGCAATATTCCAACCAAACACTTGGGCCCTTAACAAAATGGCTCCCTGCCAGTGACACCTGTGCATCCCCAAATGAAAGGCAACGAACAGCACAGCACATCTTTCGTGTCACGATGCGCGCAGGGGGGGTGGCTGACGCGAAGTCCTTGCAGTTGGATGATATGTTCTGCGAGCGGTAAAACGCAAAAGGATTGACGTATCTTTTATGTTTGTAATTTTTTGACCCACTTAAGAAAATGCAGTACAAGAGAATCACAAAGGTGAACAACAATCACTTCTTGCGAGATACAAGAGGAAAAGTGGAGTCCATGCTTCAAATTTGCGAGGCGGGATTTGTCCATGGAGTGGTGAAATATATTTATACTTGTAATTAATGCCCTGCGTTTCCTAACCGGGAGCCAGGAATGTTGAAACATGTTGAAACGATTCAATAAGGATATTATAATATATTATATATCCTACAAAATATTCTATATTCAACCATATTCAACCAAACCTACAGTAGCACATGTTTGGTGCATTTTGGTGCTACAATGCTACAATCCACAACTATCGTGGAACCTCCCGTCGCTTTCCTCGACCGGATCCAACAATTTAATGCTCGATCATACATCACCTTTGTCAAACCCACAATCTTCCGAGGACTGTCAAACTGAGTCAAACTCCCTCATGTGTTCGCAATTTCACCCGCTTCTCATTAATGTAGCAACTAATAAAAACAACTTTGAACTATATACATGTTGTTGCTATTTGAAATTTCTACTCTTGTGCAAGGGTACATTCCCAACCACCCCAACATCCCCATCCTGCGAAGTAAACACCTTCGCCGTTGGAGGCATCAACTGCCGATAGTTCGGGAGCATCTGCGCGCGTCCGTTCATGCTGGCTAGACTGGAGGTCATAGTGCAAAGGTAAATTTTGACAGGGAAAACTCCAATGGTTGCAAGCGTTTGGCATTCCAGCCGCTGCCCCGCAACAGTCTATAAATAACAGGAGGATATTTCATGTATCTATGTATATATATATATGTTAGTATTTGATTATCATGTCATATGGGGGCTGTTTGATACCTTAAAGGTTTTAATGCGTTATAGCTTCTCTTTCTGTTGGGCTCGCCTTTGTAATCTAATCTATTCTAGTCTAATCTATATAATCCTATCTAATTTACTCAATTCTATCAATCTATCTTTTTATCGTTCAGCAGGATGGTGTCCATCAGGTTGACAAGGCCACTCCTTCGGCCCCGTCTGTGGACAAGTGCGGAATACATTGCCGTGTTTAACGTAAGTTTTGTTTGGCTGCCCCGAAAAAGCGCTTGCGTGTACAAGTTTTTTACAAGTTCCAAGGGCAAGAACCCCTGTAAATAATAACACGCTTTGGACACTCTTGGATGCTGAAGGTGTGGCATCTACGCACTACCTTCAACTCTTATGGGGCCGTACATCACCCCACACCAAGTCATTTTGAGGTCGGTCCATGTGCCCAGCCTTGCGAAAATCGAAGCAACGCTTGCAATCGCAGTGCAAGGGCGATTGGCCACACCAACCACCGCTTGAACAGCAAGGCAACCTGAAAGTGTTTTTCATTGTTTTTCGCTCGGATATAACATCTCTCATTAGGAGAAAGTTTGAACTGGATTCTTCACTTCGCAAATGGACAGAGGCATTGCCCTCCTCTAGGATGCCAACTCGAGTTCATAGATATGTAACATGTATAGTAAGTAGTCTGTATATTAAAGTAGGAAAAAGTTTGTTCGCAGGCGCAGCTTCACAGTTATGGAACAAGTCAATTGTAGTAGACTCGTTGTGCTTTTGAATTTGGATAAAAGTTGGAAAGGGGATTGTCCGCCTGACTTAGACCTAGAGAAGATTAGAGAAGCCTGGGCACCAAAACCACCAAGCAGGGTGTGGGTTCAAAACTCTGGTGCCCTGGTGAAGACCAAAATAGATAGCGGATGTTCATCGTTCATCCACCCAAGGATGAGATATGATATAATATATATATAATATATATAATATCATATATAATATATAATTAATATGTTGAAATATATTGATAATGAATTGTCAGAATAACAGGTTTTGATCCATCACCAGATGGAACAAGTACAGCCATGGTTGCTTTCTCCGCTGAGGCTTTCCTGATCGAGTGCTCACCGAGAGACTTGCTTTCAGGATCACAAGCAATTGCGTTCAAAGATACCTTAGCCGCTTGAGCATGCTTGAGCCATTGATTTTTTCGACACGGGCACTTGTAATTAGCCTTAATAAGCAGGCGCATCGAGCTACTTCGAGTTTGTTTCGACTAATATCTTGAGCCATCTTGAGCCCGTTTGAATGCCAACAAATCATCCCGCTGTTCTTGTTTCTTCACTTCATTGAAATTTCGTGCTACCATCCATATTCTACACTCATAGACATCTATAAACTTGGAATTGCTCGCAAAAGCGCCGCCTCATCCATTGGAAGGCTTGGTTGAATGTGGTTGAATGCTGCATCTTTAACTGGTGAGATCCTGAGACCCTCTGTATCTCGGTATGAGATCCCTGTCTTTCAGCTGCCAAGCTTCTGCGGGGCTGGCCGTACATCTGCCGTCTGGGGAGTTCTTCCAAGAACCTCTGACTCTGATGAATGGATAGTGCATGATAGTGCGGCGAAAAGTGAATGCACACATGCAGAAAGTGGGTTTAGATGGTCAGACTGAGAGCTGCCATCTGCCAATCTTGAGTTCCGGATCATGCTGGCTTTCTTATACTACGCAAGCATACTATACTTGTTTTAAACATGCATCACAAACAGATAGAGACAGGACGGGTCAGAGCATCAAGACTTGAAGTGTCAGAAGTCACGAGAATTTTTGGAAATCAAGATATGATAAAATATGATAAGATATGATAAACTATGATGAAATATGGTAATTAATATATGGTAAGATATGGTGAGATATGATAACATATTGATATGGCAAGATATGATGAGATATGTATCAAATATGTTTGGTATTGCTTGGTTTCATCTTCGATCAAGGCCAAGCTCAAGATGAACATGAAATTCACCTTGCACCTGCATTAAATAAATCATTAGATACAAGTTCACTTCCTTTCCACTGAAGTGGCCCCGAAGTAACATGCTATGGAGACTGTTTTGAAACATGGCCCTGTCCAAAATTTCTCACCATGACGAACCAACGCAGGGGTATCAACTCCAATGTGTCCCCCGCAGAAAAAAAACACCCTTTGGCACCTTCAATGTACCCAACCTGCTGAGAATGAGACATACAGCAGCAAAAAAACACAGTACTGGGCACAGGATGACGGGGTAGTGCCACAGCGTAAAGAAAATACAACCGAACTATCGAAACTGTATGAAGCTGGTCACCCATTGCCGGCAAGAATCAGGTCCAAATGGAGGAGAGCTTTACCAAAGGATTGACTCTTGCAAAAACGTCAAGAAACTAATCCTGCAATCTGGGATAGACTCTGATAGACCTTTGTCCACGTGAAAACATAGGACACGCGCGGCAGTCTCAATCTCATAGGGATACCATCAGGTGTGGGGTTTGGCACTCTTGGTATTGACTTCTGTCCAATGGAAGAGACATACAGGGCAGCTAGGATCATCTCAAGAGAACACAAATTTGATACTATGCAACGCTGCAGAACAACCTGTGCAAAGCGAAATCCTCATAATATAAAGTGTCATGACCATACCGCCAATTGAGCCTATGCTAGTTCCAACCCAGGCCAACTATGCTGATAAACTATGTCCAAGTGAAAGCTCTGACGCAGTCTGCCTTTGCATCCGCCATGGCATGTCAAAACGTTTTTTTTTCGTGCCCCTCAACTCCCTCATGCACTTACAATCCATCACATAGACTTCAAGTGAACAACAAAACAGTGGCATGTATCCTGCTCAAATCTGCTCAGGCTTGTTTCTGATCCACCCAGCTGTCTTCTTTCGAAATCCCTTCGATCCCGGGCCCAGGCCTTGAAATGGAGATTTAGAAGAAGAATATGCGTCCTGTGCTGAGCTGCCCGATGTTGCACAAACGTCCTAATATATAAAGCCCTTGATTGCCTTTGGTTCTGAATGTTTGATTGTTCACATAGCTGGTCATTCTTGAAACTCGACTTGTACCTTGCTGTAGTGCAAATTTGCACTTTGATCATGACGACCAAAGGCTTTTGCATACTGGGCCCAGGGTGTTGCACCAAAAATGGAACCGCTTGTAACTTCTTGCACTCTGCACTTCGGTTTGAGCGTGCATAAGTTCAACATAGTTCAACATTCATACCGGTACCAGCAAAGCAGAATTTCTGTTCTGTTGACTTTGAACATCCAATCCGGCGGGGCCAATTTTTGAGTCTTAGTTACAATCGTTGCCTAGTTACCTCACTTTATTTTTGAAACTCAATCAAGCGGTACTGTACCTTTGCCATCCTTTGTCAATCACAACCATTGCACAATGCAAGCTATTTGAGATGAGACACTCGCCCCACCAAAGCTCGTGCATGCCACGGTGCGCGCCCCGTTTCGCCTTGAGCAGGTGTCTCGTGGGGTCATAATAAATCGTAAACACAATCTATATATGAAATAAATATAATATATATATATGTATATATTATATATATAGACAGAGACATGTCATCAATCTAGGTTTGCTTCTTTGATGTGAGTATGTGTCATAGCCATCTCTCCTACAAATCACCTAACCGGTGGCTAAGAACTTGTTTGTGCGCATCAATTGGCTACCAAATCAATCAAAGCCCATACTGCTCCGACTAAATCATAATCGGAGATCTCTGCTTTATTGCATTGCCAGGGAAAAATGTTAAGTCAAGTTGTCGCGAATGGCTGTTTGAATTCCTTGCGCTTCTCCCAAATCCAATCCTGTTGTCGTTTTCCTACCATTGCAATGGAATTCAAGCTACAAACACCTTTTGGGCCTATCAAACAGACGTCCACACACACAAGCAGAGTCTCTAGATACCTATACGTATAGCAGTAGCTATTTCACACAAAAAACCTCAGCTCTCTCTCCCTCTGCCCCTTCACCTCATGCCACATGCCAAAGAAGCGTGCCACTGCACCAAACTTGCCCTCACGCCAACGGCTGGCCAATTTCATGTCGCGTCTAAGTCCATCTCAGGACATTGGAAACAATGCAAAAGAGGGACCATGCTGATCATGCCGGCCACAAAGAAGAAGGGCACGGACAGTCAAATAATGCTACTGGTAGCAGCACGTATGTTTATAGATCTCGCTGTGTGTATTTAGGACATGTCTGGGTAGAACTGTCCGACTAAGGTCCGGTTGTAATGAAACTGACTTATTGAGACTTATGGAACCTTACTCTTAAATTCTTGTCAGCTGACGGCCTGAACAAGCTAATCTGGGCAACCGCTAGCATCTATCCAGATCTATTCGGTGCATCTTGGCATATCTACACAACATATCACAACATCCTCTACTTCGTACGCAGGTGACTTCTTATAGCCATTGTCGCACCACTGGAGACTCCCAACCATTTCCCGGCAAGAACCCCACGGCCCTAATCTCCTGATTGACGGGTCCTGGCCATGATGCGCTTCTTGCCCCCAGAGATTCTAATCTATTTGGAACATTTTGGAACAATAGACTAGTGGAGTTTGGAGAATTACGGCTGAGCAATCAAGACTGGTTAAGAGCGCAGGGGGCTTTGCTCCGTCAACGTGTGGTACTTGGAGGCGAGGGATCAGTTGTAGTTCCAGCAATCACACAGCTGTGGCACCATAATGATAGTGAGAAGCGATCCGTTGGCATTCTTCCTCATTGACTCACTATTCAGGTCTTGTGTCCAACTTGGTCTTGTATGTAGCTCAAAAGCAAGTGGGTCTGGTCAGGTTCCATGTCTCTCGCCAAAATCCTCCCACCATCTTGCCATGACCGGCCAAGACCTGAGGACTCTGGATCAACATCAATCCATACCTTAGACTGCGAAACACTTCATTCCCCAGTTACCCAAAATGCATCTACCATGCCAGACATACCTGTCACAATAACAGCCATTTTTGCAGGCACTTCATGGCAAGCCAAGTCACTGCAAGCACATTCTTTTTGCTCAGCATGAGCTGGCTGAGCTCCGGAATCGAATTTGGCCTTAGGAACTAAGGTTTAAAGTTTAAACCCACAACACGACAGAGATCAAAGTATAACTTCCAAAGGGATTCAAAGGAAACTTCACGATTTGTGCCACAGCATGACCTTCCCTCCAACTTCTCCACACAGAAAGGTGTGTGTGTGTGTACAACAATATAAAAATAAGAACTGATTTATTGTTACAGCATGTTACAGCGTTTGACAAAAATAGCTGTGCATTGCAGCATGGTGTATTTATACCGTCATGCTTGTAGCCTGCGAATAGTGGTTTCTAGCATGCGCCAGTTTGATGGGGATGTTGACACCAGACCGCTTTGTTAATGCTTGAAACATAGCAAAGCGCCTCTCTGCTTCACACTGAACTCCACACGCACACAGCGTCAGAGATCATTTCTTGTGTGTATATCTCCAGGGACGGTTGGCGCAATAGAATTTAAATAATGCCCTTTCTTTCCCAGACATAAAGGCGCAGGAGACCCTGAGAAGTCAAACAAACATGAGACACCATAAAAAGTGGAGGATCTTGTAAGATTCTGGAATCTGGAAGATCTTGGAAGTAGTTAGCAGATGTTAGCAGGTTTCATTCCCCCTTTGAGCCGTGGCGCACGTGAGCGGATTTGAGTTTCTGAATCACTCGTGCCTGCAGTTGCAACGAGAGTGGCCCCTGCAGTCTCAAGGACATGCTCAATTTCACTTGCAACTGCTGATATGATCCGCCCTTTGTGATTCAAACACAATTGTTGTAACATGTTGTAACGCAAAGGATCAAGTAATCTGACCTCATAGCGATCATATTGAGCTGCAAGGACGTCAGGATCAAGCTCTCTTGACGACTGAATCGAAGGGATCTTCCAAGAGATGTTCTCCTGGTTGTCAGGGTGCATCAGGATGAGGAAGAGAAACGAGAGAAGCCCAAGTTGCAACATGTTGCAAAATGTTGCACACAAATCAAAGCGCAATCTGAAATTGCTGATGATTGTCGCCACGGTGGCCTGATTGATCATAATCTTGGCAAAGTAGCGCTGATGCATCTTGGGATCCATGAATGTGCCTACCTCGACGAGTCCAGGTCGGGGACATGGTAGGACTTTAGATCAGTCTGCAGTCTCAACGTTCAACATGATTCAACATTGATGTTTTTCCTCCGCCAAAAACCCAGACTTTGAACGTACTTTCTCTCAACACAAGTGTTTGGCTAAGCTTGGGGTTTGCCGCCCATGAGAACAACAGAAGTTGCTGTGATCAGCCACACTTCAACTGCAACGGTCAAGATCTGGAAGAAATTCTGTTTGAGACTCGGATCACAAGGGTCATACGGTCATAGGTCTCCAAGCAGAAAAATGCAGCCAAGAAACACTTCCGTTGTGGAAGGCTCTCGGCATTTGGGGAAATAGCACTGAGCGTCCTGCAATGCCAAAACAAATAGGGGACCATTTTTCCCAAAGGCTGGCGGAGGTCCCAAAGCAGAAAGTAGACTTCCGTAGGAGTCTGCGTGGTGGCTGTGAAACGATCCAATCTCAATCGCCACCCAATAAATTGGAGGACTTACCAAAACAATATCAAACAACATCTCCGTGTAAGGTTCACCTTGGAGATCCAGTGAGAGTGAGGTCTTATGCCAAAAGTATCAAGAAGTATTTTGTTCTGTTTCAGTGTATCAAAAGAATCTGAGTTCTCGTGGGTGTGTCAAATTCTGACAATCAACGAGCATGATCTGTTGAACAGAACCAGATCTAAAGTAGACCCACCATCACCTAGCAGCCCTAGCAGCCCTAGCAGCCACCTTGATGTTGTGATGGATCTCTCATCCAATGATCCCAGTTCAGTGTTTGCACTTTTTGCTTCGCAGCACCTGAGTGTCACGCAGCTGAGAGACGAAAAACGGGATTCCAAGACTTGCAAAATGATCGTCACGTTAGAATGCCATGTGGATTAGTCTAATGATGTCTAATGGTACGCATTATATAAATTGACTAGTAATGCCTCAAATATTGACTTTGCCCGTACCAGGCCAAAAAAGGCAGTCCGCATGAAGTAGTATGACTTTACCACCCGCCAATGTTTTTGCTGTTTGAGCAGTAGTCTCAGGCCCTGCTGCCAGACTGAGATCGCCTTCAAAAAATGACTACAGTACACAACTGGAACAGATTCATCAAGCCGTTACAGCGCTAACGCAATGCAACTAAATAAGAGTTGCTACATCACCCTTTCGAAAGATCCAGGTTGTCACCAAATGGTCTGCTATGGTCTGTGGTAAACAACCATGACAGTCATGACAGGCCACTGATCTCCATGGGCCACTTCTCGGCCAGTTCGTTGTCCCAAATCTTGCGTTGAAGCAACCAGCCTGTCCACAGAGCGGGGTGGGGGCACCGCGGTGAAACTTGATACCTTCGTGGCTTTAGAAAATGAGTCAACAATGTCTCTCCTCAGCTACAGGCAGAACAAGGCATTTGCAGGGCTTACAAAAGCAAGACTACTCAAAGGGCAGGCTATTTTGGTGCCCATCTACCTGAAGTTCGCATGAGATGATGGTTTTTTGTTTTCTCATGGTTTTGCATTCAGTGTCGCTTGCAACGTAAGGCTGGACGCCATGCAGGACAAGCTATCCTGTATCAAACATAATATCCATTGAAGCGGCCTTGACCGGCTTTAAAGTCCTGCAAGAATAGAATTCATGGCCTCATCCTTCTCATCCCTAGTCCCAAAGTTAGGTAGGGAAAGAAAACTGCAAGTGATTCAGAAATTCCTCCGGATCCCCAATGGCCTAAGCCAGGCATGAACTGAGTACGTTGTAGCTGCTTCCGGTCATGGACCAAGTGCTCCTCAAATGAACACGAAAATTGCATGGCGATAACTTCAAATTAATGCAGTACATGAGGCTTTCTTATTGGAAGGCAACGGAATTTACCACTACAACTACAATGAGAACACTGGTAGTCACTATAGAACATCATAGTCTCTCAAAGCTCATTTTTTGAAATAATTCCAACATGTGGTGAGTACATTTAAAGTTCAAATTATCTCCGCAGAACTACAGGAGGACGGAGCAAGCAATTGAGCGCAGTCCAAAGTGAACGAGCGATCATCTCCATTGGCCCTGGCTATGATTCGCGGCCAGGGGTCAAAGCCATTGTCATTCCAGGCAGAAATGACCCATAGGGTCGGATCGCAGTCCAAAAGTGGGGCAGTTGCCTGGTGGATCCAACATGATCCAACGATCAACAAAGTCAGCTTCCGTGAACGAAAAAGACTTGGCTCCAATGCTCCAAGTCTTGTGGCATTGGTCACATTCGGTCACTCTTCTCACACTCTTAGGCTAAAAGAGCGATTCATCGCTTCAAACCCAACATTGATCATATGATATCATATGCTCGGATTTCGCTGGATAGGTATGGGCAAACAATGTGCCGCCACTACGTCTCGGTTATATTCTCGTATATATACATATACATATACCGTACCATATACCGTACCTCACAGATGAGGTATTCACCAAAAGACTGCTCACAAGGAAAAGGTTCAGGTCCTCTACCATCCCAGAATTGTCGCCTGAAGTCCCTCGGAACACAAGCCTCTTTTGCATGATTTTGCATAGGTATCTATTGAGGGACACATCATAGAAACTAGGCACAGCCTGAAAGACTTATCACGCTATGGTTGAAGACATTGCCAAAACTCAAGCTTTGAAGACTCGATGGCAAGGTCACCCGCTCCAGGCTTTGGTTGAAATCATCACCAAAACTCAAGCTTTGAAGGCTCGATGGCAGGGTGACCCGCTCCAGGCTTTGGTTGAAATCATCGCCAAACCTCAAGCTTTGAAGACTCGATGGCAAGGTCACCCGCTCCAGGCTTCGGTTGAAACACTTGCCAAAGCTCAAGCTTTGAAGGCTCGATGGCAAGGTGACCCGCTCCAGGCTTTGGTTGAAATCATCGCCAAAACTCAAGCTTTGAAGGCTCGATGGCAAGGTCACCCGCTCCAGGCTTTGGTTGAAATCCCAGCCAAAACTCAAACTTCGAAGACCCGATGGCAAGGTCACCCGCTCCAGGCTTCGGTTGAAACACTTGCCAAAGCTCAAGCTTTGAAGGCTCGATGGCAAGGTCACCCGCTCCAGGCTTTGGTTGAAATCATTGCTAAAAGCCAAGCTTTGAAGGCTCGATGGCAAGGTCACCCGCTCCAGGCTTTGGTTGAACCTATCACCAAAACTCAAGCTTTGAAGGCTCGATGGCAAGGTGACCCGCTCCAGGCTTTGGTTGAAGCCATGGCCAAAAGCCAAGCTTTGAAGGCTCGATGGCAAGGTGACCCGCTCCAGGCTTTGGTTGAACCTATCACCAAAACTCAAGCTTTGAAGGCTCGATGGCAAGGTGACCCGCTCCAGGCTTTGGTTGAAATCATCGCCAAAACCCAAGCTTTGAAGACTCGATGGCAAGGTCACCCGCTCCAGGCTTTGGTTGAAATTCCAGCCAGAAATCAAGCTTTGAAGACTTGATGGCAAGGTCACCCGCTCCAGGCTTTGGTTGAATTTCCGGCCAAAAATCAAGCTTTGAAGACTTGATGGCAAGGTCACCCGCTCCATGCTTTGGTTGAAACTCCAGCCAAAACTCAAACTTCGAAGACCCGATGGCAAGGTCACCCGCTCCAGGCTTCGGTTGAAACACTTGCCAAAGCTCAAGCTTTGAAGACTTGATGGCAAGGTCACCCGCTCCAGGCTTTGGTTGAACAACTCACCAAAACTCAAACTTCGAAGACCCGATGGCAGGGTCACCCGCTCCAGGCTTTGGTTGAAGCCATCACCAAAACTCAAGCTTTGAAGGCTCGATGGCAGGGTCACCAGCTCCAGGCTTTGGTTGAACTCCCTTGCAAAACTCAATCTTGCAAGGCTGCGAGGGAGATGATGTAAATACTCTCCAGTCATTGCTCCCGCAAGTTGTGTAACACCTTCCAGCGCAAACTCTCTCTCTCATAATTTGGGAGCCCATAGACATAATTCCATGCTGTGTACACATTTGTTGGTATGTAAGTGCAGGATAGCATTGCCGATTTTCCAACAATTCCTTGCTCTCCCAAGGTTTGATTCAGCTCCAGGTTTGCATTCACATGGTGCACGGCGAGCTTTGCGCCTGGCTTGCATGGAAGGCTCTCGGACACCAACTTGCGCAGATCATACCCAAGCATGGAGGGGGGGACGCTTAGTGTCACTCCTTCTCCAGTCAGCAGCTGAAGATCGACTCCGTCATTTTCATCTGCTGCACATTTGTCAGCAGATGATGGATTCACATAGCCATGTTGTGCACCGGACATCGTCAGAAATCACATAATTACTCATTACAGCCCTGAGCCGAAAGATCTTCGCAAAAACCAATGGATACAACTCTCAAATGCAACATGGACCCATCTTTTTGGCCACTTCCAAGTGCACCATCTCCAAGTGGGCTCAGTATCAGTTTTCGGGGCTGCCACAATCCATTTCAGCCCTACCTTGTTCATGACAAGTTGTGAAGTTTGATAGTTGGGTATGTATGGGTTTGTCAGTTTGACTCACACATTGCCATGATGCAGAGAATCTCAGTCATTCTATGGGATGTCTCCAAATCAGGCAAGTCTGATCACAAGTTTGCGGATCATTTTTGGCTATCCGCATCTCAAGAAAAAACCAATCCTCGATTCCTTATTATTTTCCTCAAGGAAACAACCCTCGTTCGAGGTCCACTTGAAGCAATGTCAATATCCGAAAAAACCGAAGCACGGACAAGCGACCTGCCTGGAAATAAGTCAGAAAGTCGGGTGAGAAGATCAGATCATCTTCCACAATGATCAAACCTTCCATGCACCCGCTGCATGCAAAGAAAATCACACGATGTCAGCATGCAAACCTGGTTGCAGTATGTCTGTTCAAGAAGTCACACCACCGACAGAACATCCGGATGAACTAGAACTTGTCAAATGCCATAAATACTTCCGGCAAGTACATACAGTCACTTTTGATCAAAGCCATAAAAATATATAAAAATATCAGTTGACTCTTTTATCTTTTTAAAGTACCTCTGAATTTCCGGTAGTGCCATCAGTTGCACCTGGAGACTGAAAATGGTGGAACCCAGCTTCGATGCTCCATTTGTAATGCCTGGCAATCCTGCGCACTGAACGGTCTCTGGATCGTAACACGCTGTACATTTTAGTAAATTTAGCAATACATTAGCACTACTGTATGTGGTGTAGTAGTGATATAGTCATAACAGCAGAACGGCCCTAGATGTGCAAGAGATGTTCACGATGCTCTCCTATTCGCAGCTATCTTCCATGCATCGCCGCTGGTGGACCGCGTTGCAGGAAGGTGCTGCAACGAATGCAATTTCATCTCATCCAGCAATTTGCTGACCTGGGCTGACCAGTTGGAATATGCTCTGGAATGTCGTGGTTCTGCTTTGTAGGAGGGCATGGTTGGCTCCTTGAAATTTATGGTCATAACAACGCCTGGAAGCCAACAAAGGGGCCCGTTGGGGCGCAATCACAGTTAAAATGGCCAGCTTAGGAAAAAACTGGCCTACTGACTTATATCATACCAAAGCTATCTTAGGCTACATGCTGATACATTTTCTGCCTTACAACATCACACCCTGGAGTTGTTGGAGGTCAATGCCAACAAAACCAAGCCACTGCGCGATCATTGCCATCCTGAGCGACCAAAAGTCCTCAGCCGCAGAACTTACAACTAAACCTGATCCTTGAGCGGCATCGTCGGTCTTGTCCAAAATAGTCTGTTACACAACATACTCATCACTCTGAGAGCTTGCAAAAATGCAACCAACCTTGCACTTCGTGCTGGCACCTTCTGCTGGCACTTGGGGAGACGGTGGATATACATGTGCAACCACTCTAGCAACTAAGCACAATCAAACCCAAACATTTTATGTGTGCATAGTGCTGCATGCCCAAACCTCATCACGTGTGAGAAGCATTCTGCTTTGTAAGCGAAGGCCACGGAGCAGTGGATTGAAATCTGGAACGGCTGAAGTGTGATTTGCGCCTGAAAAGATGCAAAATGGAAAGTGGAGACTTTGAATGGTGTGCAAGATTCGCAAAAAAAAACTATTCAGCGAGCATCGGTCTGGCGAAAATCCCTCCAACCCCATCAGGCTCTGCAGAGTCTTGTTCAAAACAGTCGGCCGTTGATGTGCCAATAATACGACGGGGAATTGCCCACCTCAGTTCGCTGGTAGCACTATATATATATATATACGTGTATATATATATTGCAATGGGGAACACACGCCGAGCAAATCACTGATGAGAAAGCAACTGCAACAAAAAAAGCTTTCCCCCAGCTGAACGCAACAAAAACTACATATACCCTAAGCATAAGTAGATACCTAAACCCAAGCTGAACGCAAGAGAAAACACAAAAACACTAAAAAACATGGTTGCGCTGAGATCACCAAAGTTCCCTTGCGTTTTGCAAAAAGGCATGACTTCCAGGGAAAGCTTCGATGCAACTAAATAATACTAAATATAGTCATTTCTTTAAAAAAGGAACGACTCTGTCTTTTGGCTGTTCTGAATTATACTACACATAATGGAGAATTCATGGAGACAGATCCAACTACTGAAATCCTAAAGTCCACCATAATTTTCCAGACACAAACCGGATGAGCTGGTACAACAACATAGCTAGAATATGGATCAATATGGATCAATATTGCACAATCAAGCGCAACCCTTGAGGTCTCTGGCCTTCACCGATGAAGGACGAAATGTCTCCCTCACATTTTGGAGTGTCCGCGGAATCCACGAAATGCTCCTGATTTGATCGCGTTGGTGCAGTCGCTGACAGGCTGCTTGCAGACGTCCCAACGAGTCCAACGACCCTTGGTGATATTTCCTCGCCCTGACGGTCAACATGCAACAAGGATCAACAAGGCTTGATTCACCAACCACTAGTGACACCGTGCTTCTGCTTCTTTCAGTCTTGTCTGACTCAGCAACTGCAGTCAATTGGTACTTGCATCTCACCCAAAAACTACTTGTACCTTTGTCGTTCCCTTTGAACAACCCTATCAAACCATCTTCTTGATTGTCATTGTTGGTTTTGCACAATGTATTTGCAGCACATTGGGACACCTCCTCGCCTCCAATCTTGTCTGAAGGCAAATGTATACAACTGCCAGAAACACCAGGAAGGCAATCCAAGCTCCTGACAGTTTCACTTCCGGTTTGGACGTGAGATGATTTCAGATGTGAGATGATGTGTAATGCCCTACATTGCAGTATTGCAAATGCACGAATCAATCAATTGACGGCAGTCGGAGATGCATGTCACATGCTGACATCCAATTTGGCATCACAGAATATGTTTAATCATGGAATGCAGTATATAATTAATTATTATATAGTTCATATTTATTCATATTTATTCATACATGTCTAATATATTTACGTTCATAAATATGTTCATAGATGTTCCATATTTTGCCTTGATGGTATTGCGATCTCTGAAAGATTGGAGCCGACATCGCCAGGTCCCGTGCCTTGACGGCAACACCGACGGCTTAAGCGCATCCTGTGCCGCCAGGCGCTTCGCTAAAGTGCCCATCGATGGAAGGCCCATGCAGCGCATGTGGATTCCAATGGATTCCACAGTGCTGGAACATCCGCTACAAGATGGAACAGGCGAAGCAGGTTGAAGATACTTCAGATGTTCAAGGGAATGCATCTTCTTGTGTACTAGTTTTTGTGTATCTATGGGTATCTTGTTCAAGCCGCTATGCCTGTCACGTGATATTGGTCACAATAGGCTGTGTTCACCTTGCAAATGGGTCTTGAGCTAGAGCAAGTGGACAAAGCAAACTGGAGCCTGCTCATGGAAGCAGTCTAAGTAGTCTGCTCACGGAAGTCGCTTCGAATCGAACAGGTTGGTATACGAGTAATTACTGCGAAAATCAGCAAAGCATGCACCACCGAGTCAGATTGAAAGGGCTTAGATAAAGACCAGCAACTTGGGCAAACATATTGAACACAAAACAGTGTTTTGGGAGCCAAGTATTGACACGAACACACACATCATGGCACATGGGCCACGTGGGCTTTCAAGTAATCCCCTCAAAGCCATTTCGTTCCAGCGATCCAAGGCGTATCTCACCGTAAACAATGCTAGGCCAGATGCACTTTGTCATACTGAAGCCCAGGTCTGTAAAATCGACTCTTGTGAAGATCACGCAAATTACAGGGAAATGAACATCCGCATAATCAATTTGAAGACTCTCCAAGAACAAAAGCGCGCACCAAACGGAAAAGAATGAAATTAGAGCAGTGACTCTTTTCATACACCCTCCCACGCGAATGTTCGCAACCCGCTCATGTACTTTGCACCATTTGGTGCGTTGCAAGCTTGTAATGGTTGATCTTGTCAATTAATTAATTGTATAAACACTTTGAGTGGTTGGAACTGCAAACTGTTTGAATCTACTCATGTCTGACATTTCCGACTCCATTGTTTGGGATATAATACCAGTACTAAAGATTACTATAGTACATATTACAATTGTCATTGACTATAATTAATATACGTACATAATATATATGTACGTGTAGCTACGTAGTCTGACTTCTGGGTCACATGCATGTTGCTTTGCTGGAGCAACGCAGGCTATTTATCAGCATGATGCCTTTGGCCTAAGCAATGGCCAACACCAACTGGGTCATGTGGATGTCCTGATGAAAGGGACGTTGAACATGGCCAATCACAGGGAATAAACACAATCGGAAACGGTCCAAAATGTCTGACAAACCTTGTGCCTCCTTCTTTCGTAATTATTCCTCTGGTGAATGAGGATGTGTTGACTTCGCCCAAGTTCAACGTTGCTGGGTTTCTCAAGTGTAGAAACTTCCATCCACTTCCAACCACTTGACCCAAATAACCAGGAGACCTGTGGCTCTCCGTGGCTCCTCCAGGGCCTTCTCCAGGTTCGCAGCTTTCGCCGGACCCACCCTGCGGACATATCCCGGGATGAAAGGATGATCCAAACAGCATAATATGTTAAATCCAATAGGGAAATCCTAAGCGGAATTCACTTGCGTTAATATATCTGGATAATTATATCATATTATATCTACAGTATATATAATAAAGTCTTGGTAATTCTTGATAATTTAATTATTGATATAATATCATGATATATCTGTATATGATCTTTATTAGTCTTAATTGATATGTCTTAATATTCCTAATTGACCGGATGTGATGATGGTAAACTCAGAGACTGTTCAATGGAACTGAACCTTCCGAGATCCAGTGACCCCTAATTATGGGCAGCTTGCAAACGCCGTCGCCAACATGCTGCCAAAGTTACCACCTGTGGAACCTGTGGTCAATAGTAATCACATGTAATCACATGTATTCACTGTTGGAATGCCAACACTGGACCGGCTACCCCCTGCCTCGCATATCCCTCTTCCACCTGCAGCTGTGTTTGTTGACAGGCTTTCACAGGGTGATAGGGGAGATCAACAGAAGACGATCCACAGCTTCGATTGATGGTGTCGAGCACCAGTGTCTACCGGCACTGACTATCCGCACTTAATCTTTCATAAAAACAAAGAACCCGTTTTTTCAGATGAACACAAGCAACATCTACAAGGCACAGAATATATCAGAATATGACATTTCAACTCAGAGTACGATTCATGTTTGCAGTGCCTGCTGAACACAAGTGGCTGACCTTACAGGTGCCTTGGTGAAGTTGTTCGAGAGAAAACGGTTTTACTTTCTGTTTTACTTTCTATCAAATATTATCAAATGCTGTTATTGCACATGTTTTCTCTTCTCGGCGCATTGAAAGCTGAAGTTCAGGCATTGTCCACATTGGGAAACGAGTTCAGGCATTGCCAATGGCACCAGTGAGTGAAGTTAAGTGTATACAGTATACATTGAATGCGAAATCGACCTCTCTGCGGCATGTCCGGCAGACCACTGGTCGGCCGCGATGCTGTGCAAAGCGATTCCAGGAAGTTGAGCATATACAAACATGCCCACAGGGAACCAAGGCCTTTGATGGCTTAGCATCCCTGCAAATCACACATTATGGGGCATGGTCTGTTCGCGTTTCAAACGATTGATCTGCTCAGCCAAAGTCTCATTCACTTCTAGCTGCTCCGTCAGCAAGAGTTGGATGAGTGGGCAATTGCCTGCGACCACATTTGCTGCGTTCAGAATTTCATGTGCCTCCTCCAGTTCTTTGTTTCGGAAGCTCAACTGTCTTCTTTCCTCTCGCAACTGCTTCTCCAGCTCCTCCTTCTTCTTTTCAAATCACAAGTTAATAACAAGCCTCCTTTTCTGCCGCGGCACCAAGCGCGTCGGCATGAAAATGCTCCTCTACAACATCCTCGTCCTGCTTGAAAAAGAATTTGCCCCTGCAACGGCATGCGTTTTTGAATTGACGACATTTGACGACCACGAAAGCGCTCAGCGGCGTCTGCAAGGAAGGTAAAAACCAATAGCAAATCAATAAATGGATGGTGAAATCATCACCAAATGGTAGGTTTATTATTGGGTGTGACACGTCACATTCAAAAATATTTGGACACTTAAAGCTTCCAAAGACTTCTGAATTTAACGTGGCACTTCGGACGAAAGAGCAGGGCGCTTGTCAAAAACTGTGTGCCTACCATGAACTCGGCAAACCATGTTGATGCGGCTCCAAATCTTGTGGAGCAAGGCTTGGCAGGAAAGGTTCTGCGAGGTTGCTGATGGAACTGTAATGAAGTGTAGGTTAAATTCTGTCATTGCACATACACCTACAGTATATAATTTTACAACTATATATATATAATGTTTCAATATATATTGAAATATATTGAAAATATCTCAAGGTTCTCAAGGCAACGAATGCGAGACCCAAAACAGGTTTGCTGTCGCTGTGTGATCTCTAGCCTGCTCGGGCATGAAGCAAACCTAGCCCGAAGGTGCTTGAGATTGGCAAGGAGAGAATTATCATTTAATGATCTATGCCATGGGGTAGCCTTAGATTCCCAAACAGTGCTCCCCGATGCTCCCCCGTGTTCCTGCTATTCTTCCTTCAACGCATTTTAGAACACTTCGAAGTCTTCCACGGGCGCACAGGTGATTGAGGGTGCAGCCATGATTGCTTCAAGAATCCCAAGAATTCTGTATAATTCTGTATTCCGACGTTTGCATCACCCTGGGAATAATCAAGAACACTTCTGGTTTGCTGTATAAATTCTATCTAATAGGACCGTCTAGAACATCAGTCTTCTATCGCCCTGTTGATTCCACGTTCCAAAGTGATCAGCACAAAACCACCAGTTTCCAACTTCCGCAACATTCCATCCATGCACCAGGACAGCTGCACACCCGGTTGTGCTTGGATTTGCCCCCATTCTCATTGAGGGTCAGGCTGGCATAATTTTCCGATCCAACGCTGCAGCAAGGCTAACTTTGATGCGGCCCAACCTTGGAGGCGCCATGTCTTGGGAGGTTGTGGAGTTGCACTACATGCTTTGAAACAAGTGCAACAATGCCTAGAACACTTAGAGGACCACAATAAGAACGTCTTCGGCGAGTATCATCTGTTTGGAAGTCTGTTCAGTGCGTTAAAACATCAAAGCCCTACAGCAGAATGTTGATATATGTTGATATCTTTTCACCCCGGGCAGTCAAGACCTAGAGTTCTTTCCTCACACGAGCCTTCACAGACTATCTGTTTTAAGCTGACATACCCATCAGAAAACTTCTAGCTCAAATGCCATGGCAAAGGATAGTCTCTGTCTAATCATTGTTGAGGCAATCCCGATTCTGGAGCAGAACATTCAGAAAAGCCGTTGAGATTGGTATTGAACCACTTCGCTCTTCCACACATGACAGCATGAAAGTATATCACCCAGCCAGCTCTTCAGCCATACGAAGATATACCAACCGCACAGTTCAGCAACTCACTCCAGCGGTCTATTCTATGCACCAAAAAGAGAAATGCGGTCGCATCAACATCCTTTTGAAACCCTGCATTCTGCAGCACATTCCCTAGCCCTAGCTGAGATTTCTGCGAGCCATCGGACGAGGCTATAGAGGAGTTCGGAATGCACTTCAACTGGTACATTCACGGTTTGAAGGAGAACAGTTGAACACCCCCCCAAAAAAAGATCGAACAGTTATAATTTGGATGTATCTCCTTGCTTCGAGAGCAGTTGATCTGCCAGAAACATAAACATTGTCCCTCAGTTCACTGGCTCTGCCCGAAGAAAAGTTCGTTAGTTAACTGCTGGGTAATACCCTTGGCGCCCACCTGCAAATTCACTCACATGCACACTGTCGCACACTCACCGGGGCAGCTAAAGATCACTGTGTTCCAGTCCTAGTGACGTTAATCATAATCGTACCCACAGACGCCGTGTGTTGCACAGACATTAACATTGAAAATGTCGTGCTGTCGAATACATGATGGGAGAGATTGCAGAAAATACTGTGTATACATAGTGTTTTGCAGTTTGGGATTCAAAGTTTTCAGAGCCTAGGTTTTAGGGTTTTAGGGTTTTAGGGTTTTAGGGTTTTAGGGTTTGGGGTTTCAGGGTTTGGGGTTTTAGGGTTTAGGATGGTTTAGGGTTTTAAGTTTTAAGGTTTTAGGGTTTAGGGTTCGTCGTCTGGGAAATCTCAAAGACTGGCCCTGCGCAGGTGTTCGAGCATGTTGAAGGATAATGTTTAAACATGTTTAGACGCCATTTGAACCTTCCGGGCAACACACAACGCCTGGCCGTAATTGTATAATCCATGTAAATCCATCTTATTGATCCATGTTAACCCTTTCTTTTGGATGACAATGGTCCCTGGAGTCACTGCCTCCAGTTCAACCCTTGACCACTTGACCACTTGACCACTTGACCAGAATCCTCCCGTCTGTGGCCTCCAGTGTCAAAGACATCGTCTCCACGTTCATCTGGGAGCGTAAGAGTGGGTGGCGTGGCGGAGCAAAGGGAAGCGTTTGAATGCGAACTTCCTCAACCGCTGTGCGCTCACGAGCCTTACATGCCTCACACGCCTCACAACTTTGTATTCCAAGGTGGCCTTTCTGCTGCAGGAAAGCTGAAAAGCTCAGAGTCTGAGGAGCCACACCAAAGCTTTTTCCAATGCCTCTCCTTCCATCTCTGCCACAGCCACCGCGGCCCGGGAAGGCTCTGCAAACTGGCCAAAAGCCATCGAGTTTGACCCCTTGGATAAGGAGAGATAACTTAAGATAAGTTTCCCCGTCAAAACATCATACAGTATGATGATGTATGATGTAATCCCACACTCAGTACACCATTGATGAGATGAGACCATCACACCAAGTAAAATACATGGCCGCATGGGTACATACCAACAAATGCCGCATAGATGAGCATAAGAATACAAAAACACATGCCCAATCATGGAAGACTGGAAGTAAAGTGATCAACAAATAGGGAAGATCCACTGCGCCGCTGCACCTCCAGATTGGTCTGCAGCACTGCATCAATACAAATGGCCGATGGCCCGCGGAGCTGACCCACCTTGGTCGAACCATGCCGGAATGCCAAAAACTGACATCAGAAAATACGTCAGACACGGATTCACTTGATCTCACTTTACACCTGGAGAATCTTACAAGCGGCCAGTATTATGAATCTTTTGGCACTATACCGATATCCTAGATAATATTGACAGGCCTGTGCCCGGTTTTTGAAGCGTCTGCTCTCAAAACCTCACAGTAGCAATCTGCTGGTCTAGCTTTTGAGAAGTCGACTCTACCGACAGCCAGGGATCGATCTGCCTTGCCACATTTGCTGTGAAGGGGTCTGCAGTGACAATCAAAGCAGTTCACCAATTCATTGTGTGAAGGAACTGCTTGGCTTTTGAAGTGGAGAAGACTGATACCAGTTCGCACCCTACACCACCCAAGTATCTGAACGGGTACGAAATTGGATATCAAAGTCCCTTCCTTTTTATCCGCGAAGCACTTACGTCGGCGGTCTAATGTACACTTGCCCTGGCTGGCTAGAGCAATGAATCTTCCCCCAGCCGCAGATGCTTGTGATCCACGTGGCAGCACCTTGCGTTTTTCTTTGGCGCTTTGGTGCTGCCAAGAGTCGAACAAAAGGTCCAGATCCTGTCATGACTATATAAGAGGTCCCTCCGATGTGGTCAACATTTTTGTACTAGTAATTAAGCTGATGTGTTATCGCCAGCACTCAAATACCACAACATCTTGATGCAAAAACTCAACAACCATCAAAAACCATTGGCTAGGATTTGTTTGGCCAATTTTGGCCATGTAGATCCATGTAGCCATGATGGGTCCTGGACAATCCTGGACACCCGAGACGCTGATGTTAGCTGGGCTTTATCATCGTGCACGGCTCAAAGCTCGTCCATTTTTGATCAGCTCATCGCCTTGCACGTGTACCATCTCCTCGGCACGGCGGAGCCTGGTGCCTGGCGAAGGCTTGAAAAGTATGGCCGCCAGCGGTGTGATAATGCTGTGACCTTCCTGTATAGCTATGTATAGACCTGTATAGATCTGGTAGCATTGATTTGTCCACAAAATCAAGCGGTGGATCGTCTGTATAATGAGATCGAATAGTTGACACCATGGCTGTCTGCGCATTCTTGCATAGAAAAAATACTTTTAATACAAACACGATCAAGCGAGTTTATGTTGTTGAAAATGCATCAAACAACGTTGCCTCCCAGTGCTGTGCATTTCATGGAAAACATGGCTACAGTGCAGCCTACAGTAAGACTTGCACTCCTGGTGAACCCTTGCAATGCCTTTCAAAATTTTCAAATTGGCCAGAATGGGTGACAACAATCCGCTCAAGAACAACGTTTTTGACCCAGACCTGGTATGATAATGTATTAACTTGCTGATCCGCGACAATCCGCGACAATCCGCGACATTGGTATGTCCAAGTTTCTCGCTCACATAGACGGCAGTACGCTCCACGAGGGTCGCCTCTCTAGGGGTTTGAACCATCACAAATATGGCCTGAGAATGTGTACAAATCAGTGATGTCTGTTGTGCTATTCAAGTTTGCCCAGATATAGATAGTGACAAGATGTTCAGGTGCAACCTCATTGAAAGTGAATGAGAGATCTAGTGTCAAGATGTTCCAAGATGTGTCAAGCGAAGGTTCTACGATATGCCAATTTGGGCGAGGTGAGGGCACAACATCATTGCCAAGCTACAGCCAAAGCTTTGTCGATAGACGGTTCTTTCAATGTGTTCATCGGAAGCTTCATGAGACAAGAAAAGGTGTCGAGGTCCATGGCAGAGAAACCAAAAGCGGCAGCAGCCCAGGAGACACGACTTCAAGGGACTCAAGGGATCAGCATCCGGCATTAAAGGTGGTTTCAGTGAGAAGATGCTGATGCCGAAGTCCACGCAACCAACATAGCCCCAGAACTGGCAAAAGTCTTCCTTGCCGATTTGATCATATGTGGTCAGTGAAGCTTGCTGTGAAGCAGTTTGTTATCAGCAATCAAGCGTGCTATATGATTAGATTAGATTAGATTAGATTCATTCAATTACATTATCGAAGAAAGTTTAGAAATCAAACTTCTGACAATATGGAGAGATCGAAAAGCAGAGGTGGGAAGAGTCAGAGAAGAGAAGAGAAGAGAAGAGAGGAGAGGAGAGGAGACGAGAGGAGAGGAGAGAAGAAGAGAGAAGAAGAGAGAAGAAGAGAGAAGAAGAGAGAAGAAGAGAGAAGAAGAGAGAAGAAGAGAGAAGAAGAGAGGAGAAGAGAGAAGAAGAGAGGAGAAAAGAAGAGAAGAAGAGAGAAGAGAAGAAGAGAAGAAGAGAGAAGAGAAGAAGAGAAGAAGAGAGAAGAGAAGAGAAGAAGAGAGAAGAGAAGAGAAGAAGAGAGAAGAGAAGAGAAGAGAAGAGAAGAAGAAGAGAAGAAGAGAAGAAGAGAGAAGATCCGAAGAGAAAGAGTCAGAAGAAAGAAGGCAGGTGCGGGAAAAGGTAGAAAAGTCGCGAAACACTATTTTTTTCCAATGATTTGTGGCTCCGGAGGGTCGAAAAGTAGGCTCGCTAGAGAGGCGGGCGCGGAGCCATCTGGCTAGATGAGAGATGAAAATTGCATGCCGTTGTGGCGCGAATCAAATTTCGAAGCCAAAAAAAAACGTTTAAACCACTTTTGGAAGTTGAGATGATGAAAAAGTGCACACCGCTGTGGCGCGAAGCACATTTCCAAGTCAAAACGTACAAAGCACATCAACGTCGGAGCACTTTTGGAAGTTGAGATGTCGAAAAAGTGCACGCCGTTGTGGCGCGAAGCACATTTCCAAGTCAAAACTTGCAAAGCACACCAACGTCGGAGCACTTTTGGAAGTTGAGATGTCGAAAAAGTGCACGCCGTTGTGGCGCGAAGCACATTTCCAAGTCAAAATCTACAAAACACACCATCTGCACTTTTGGAAGTTGACATGTTGAAAAAGTTCATGCCGTTGTGGCGCGAAGCACATTTCCAAGTCAAAAGTGCACAAAAAACTGACGGGTACGGAGCACTTTTGGATGTTCAGATGTCGTTTCAGGCGCAAGGGATTGTGCACCTTGTCAAAAATGATCAAAACGTGAGGGTTTTGTAGCATTTCCAAAAACGGCAGGCGTGGGACATTTGAAGAGGATCTGCAAAGATGCATTTTCCGCGGCAGGCGCTGTACAAGAGACATGTTCATCAGAGATGTTAGCAGGTCCGGGCGCTCATTTCCTGAGAGGGGTTGCATTTTGGAGCATGAGACAACTTTCCATTATTGAAGGAAGTCTCGCAGGATTGCTTCGTTTTTGATGTTGCCAACTTCAAAAATTGAGAAAGTCTTGTAAAATTGCTTCTTTTTTTGACGTTGTCAAGTTAAAAAGTTGAGGAAGTCTCGCAGAATTTCTGCGTTTTTGATGTTGTCAAGTTCAAAAATTGAGGAAGCGTTGCAGAATTGATAGATAGACAAACAACTACAACTACCCCTGCACTACACTACTGCCACTACTGCTACAACTACAAATACAAATAAACTACGCTAGTTTACACTACACTAGTTACACTGCACTACACTACACTAAATTACATCTAATGACAATACGCTACACTAATTGCACAGCAACAACAACAACTACTACAACAACAACAACAACTACTACTACTACTACGACGACTACTACTACTACTACTACTCCTACTACTCCTCCTCCTCCTGCTGCTGCTACTACTACTACTACGACTACTACTACGACGACTACTACTACTACTACTGCTACTACTACTACTACTACTACTAGTACTACTACTACTACTACTATTACTACTGCTACTGCTAATACTGAAACTCTACTACTCTACTACTCTACTACTCTACTACTCTACTACTCTTCTTCTACTACTACTACTACGACGACGACGACGACCACGACCACGACCACGACCACCACCACGACCACGACCACGACCACGACTACTACTAAACTACTACTACGACCTCTACTACGACCTCTACTACGACCTCCACCGCCACCGCCACCACCACCAGCACCACCAGCACCACCAGCACCACCAGCACCACCAGCACCACCAGCACCACCAGCACCACCACCACCACCACCACCACCATTACAACAACTACCACGGCTACAACTACAATTACAACTACACTACATTTCATTGCACTACACGAATTACACTGCAATACGCTACAACTACACATACAAATACAACTACAGTACCTTACACTACACTAGACTACACTAGACTACACTACACTATACCATCCTACAGTACACAACACGTCAGTACACTGCACTACACTACACTAATTACACCACACCACAACTACAACTGCAACTACACTACACTAATTACATTACGTTGCAACTGCAACTCCACTACACTACACTACAACTACAACTGCACTACACCACACTACATCCAGCAGTTGTGGTGAGGTGACCACTGCAACCATTTCAAAAAGCACAACTCCAACCACTTTTCGGTCCATCAGTGGATTCGCTCTGCCATCCGTGATTCACAGCAACCAACCTCTCCTATAGGTTTCCTATTTCTGAAGCTTCCGCCACCGCCTTGTGCGGTACTACTGGTATCGCCAGACTTTTGACATCTTTTAACACTCTCAAAATCTCTCAGGTCCAGACATCCAGAGAATGAAAGCGTGAAGTGAATGCAAGAATGCCACTGTCTGGCTGTTGGCTCTCAACTGGCCAACTGGTAAGGGGAATAACAGTGGAGATCGTCTGAAACAGGAACTCCATGTGGTCCCAATAACGGCCAAGAGCGGGTATACAATATCCAACGGGTATTGAGCTACCCCACCGCTCTGCTGTATTCAAGGCTCTTACAGGGCCCTATCCCCGCTCATTTCACAAAACGTAGAAGCCGCCCTTTTGAGCCCTCTAATTACGAATCCAACCAGTCCCACATGTACATGGAGCCAATGTGGTTTGATGATGTTTCAATTTCATAGCCACTATTTCTGCCAATAACATCTAATAACTAGACTAGTTTGGCTCGGAATTAGCAACCAGAATAGTTTGGCTCAAATTCACCCGATGCTTCCGTGAAACTCTGTGGGGTCGCAGTGCCGAGCTTCCCACTGCATCCAATAAGTGCCGTCATCCTTGCTACTGAAGCCCAAGGATGTCTTGACGTGTGGGTACTTGTCCTCAAGATGTTGGCTGCGACGCTTGGGCTGTCACAAGGATGCGTCCCCCAAAGCGGTGCCTTCGTTCATCTACGTTCTGTGGCTTCTCTCTTGGGAATCAAGGGGTCTGTGTAACGCAAAAGGGGTTGCGAATTCTGGTTTTGAATGGTGTTGCAATTTGAGGGTTATCTGCTCAAGAGATTTAGATGCTAAATGCTCGAAAGTCCTGTGGAGATTGTGGAGTGAATTGCTCTGGAACGGTCTGTGGCATGAGCAAGTTACCCTATAATGTGGGTAAAACAATAATAAACCACCCATTTGGGAATGCTTTCTGCCACCTATTTATGGTGATCTGGGGGATGGTTTATTATTGTTTTACCCACATTAGTGCCTTTAATGAGGTGAACGAGCTGATTCAGAAGGACGCAAGGAATCGGCCATGCCAAAAGGCTTTGGAAGGCACTCTTAGTCACTCTTCCCATTCTTTTCGCTGATCTTCTAGGGCTCTCCTGCCAAACCTAGCAAACAAATTGATAGTCAACAACAATCTGCTGAACATATATAAATGAATGCAATCATGTATGGGTCTATGGGTATCCAGCACAGCATAGCACAGCCAAACAAAGTATCAGCTCTTGCATAATCAGAAATCCTGGCGCGCTTCCCGCAGCTATCAAATCGAAGTCGTATGATGACTTGTTGATTGTTCAGTGTTATGTAACATATGTATGATAAGGATTATTCTTGCCATTTCTTGAAGGGTGGTGTCCTTCTTGAATTATTGAAGAAATATCTAATCATGGAGAATTCTTGGCACACGTTGACGCACATATCAAATCTCTTACTTATCTCAGTATGACTGCGATAGTCAAGCCGAGTCAAGCCGAGTCAAGCTGAGTCAAGCCTTGGTCTTCAGCACAAGCCAAGCATCCCAGAGTGGTGACCCGTCACACCAAGATCCCTTCCACTCTCCAGTTCCCCAAGGATTTCGTATCTGCACCTCGACAGTGAGCACGGTATTGCTCAGTGAGGCTCAGTGACTTGGTAACGACATGACCACCACCACAAAGATCCATAAAGATCTGTAAAGGCAAGGTCAAACCTGAACTTTCATCAGTACGCATCATTGCACTTTTAAAGCAAAGCTGGCAAAATGCAATCCCCAAAACGCGAAGTCTAGCAATAGTCCCACACGTCCTGCTGACGCAAAGCTGCCAAGGAACCATACGAAAGTACTCATTGGAATGCCAGTTCAAAGGGACTGCTCTAACTTGCAGCAAAGAGAATGCGTGCTTTGGGACTAAACCCTGCTTCTGTCCAGCTTCTTTCACCCCACCACAACAAAGGACCGCCCCCTGGCGATGGTAGTGTCGAAGCAATTGGAAGAAATCCTCATCATCGTGCTTCTCATCCTCAAGCACAACATGGCATCTTGAAACATCTACCCAGACTCAAAAAAGCAGCCCCAATCTTGGCAGTTTCAGTAGTTGTGTACTAAATTTCAAGCCACAAACCAAGCATACGTACATGAAATCAACCTCCAACCTCCAGAACCTGGTCACATGAGACTCAGTGCTCATCAGTGCTCCGGGTTTTAGCTGAGCATCGGTGGGTTTGAAAGCGCAAGCCCTTTTGTCCTCTGACTTCTGGGTCACAAGATCCAACCTTTCCCAAGACTTCTCGCTACTTGAGCGCTCGTAACGCCATGCATTGCCACCAGTCATTGCTGAAATGGCCCACTCCTAAGTACCAGGAAAGATCAAAATTGCCGCAGTTGCACAAACAAACACTTCAGCAACAGTCTTCACCGCCTTCGGATATCAAAAATATTCAAAAATCATCATAACAACTGGAAATTGGCTGTTCTTGTGACCACCTGTGGCATCAGCTCGACAGCCAAGGCTCAGTGATACCCGCTTCAGTGGCAGCATAGCTGCCGCAAAGCTTTGCAAAGGCCTTCTCCAGCATCATCACCTCAGGGTCCATTTCAAGCCATTTCACGACATTGATTAGATTAATTGTCTATATAATATATATATATATACTTGATAATTGTACATGTGTAAATATATATATATATGTATGTATACATATGTGTGGATATAATTGCATGTGTATATATATATATATACGTATATAATTGTATATATATATATATACACATGTGTATATAATTGGATACATATATATATATATGTATGTAAATGATCATATATGTATATGTACTATATATATTTTTATATTTTTACAAAAAAAAACTACATGTTTATATATACATATTTTTTAAGACTAACTCAACTACAGAAGTTGGTTTCGAATTCAGATGTCATGCAATAGGAATAGGATAATGTCTCAGCAGGATGGTGTGTCCGGTGGTGTGTTGACGATAGGCTGCCGAGTTTGGTAAATGGTTTAGGCTATAGGCTAGACGTATCAAGCAAGCCTCAAAGCAAAACAAAAAGTCGCTGACGAGAATACAAAGTAAATCACAAGATGCTGATGTGGATGAGGACACATCGATGTGTCACACTTTATCTGCACCTCCGCTACAACTTCAGAACATCATACAATATCAATCAATATCATACAATATCCCAGTCCGTAGGCTTTCTGTGTAGATTCGGACAAGCGACCCATGTTTCTTTGCCATGAGGATGAGCATAGAGTGCCTCTGGCATACCATCCCTTGCGCGTGCCACACCAAGCGGATCTCGCGAATCCGGCTTGCAGGGCACAAAATCATCCAGTTTGATGACTGTCCATTGTTTGACCTGTGGAGATGGCCATAGACGACCGTCCCTGACCCAGTGGCCAGCAGAGCCTGGAAACAAGTATTGTACCATAGTACCTCTAAAGTGGTTCCCAACTAGCATACTAGAGCATACTGGACAATCTATTTAGACCTCTGAGCAGACTGGAGGATCGTGTCGAAAAGCTCCACAAGTATTGGACAAAGATGGTTGGCAACTTTGAAGTGTGAACCAAACACGCAAAGCATTGCATGCCAGGACCATGCATCATGATTTACCCGTGGTGTGGGTTGGAAAATCAGTGACAGCTTAGTAGGTTCCACAAAAGCCGGGAACAAAAGTTCCGTTCTTCTAAATCCTGGATAATGACAACCTTGGACAAGGGCACAAGCAGCAACTGTACGTAAATGCAGGGCAAGTCGACTTGAGGGTCAAACAGCTTGATGTGGTACTGTCCGTGTGGTTGAACCTGCAACAATGGCTGCCTGGGTCCCTGTTAAAGGCGCTGCTTTGGAGCATGAAAATGCAGAGGTCCAAATATGACGTAAAAGATTAAAAGAAGTCCAAACACTTTCCTTAACCAGCTGAAAAGCATGGAATGGTTGCGTCTAGCCAAACCGTCCAAAGATTTTCCAAAGATGTTCAAGGGATGCTCTCAGCAAACAGGGACCAGGATTGAAAAGCTGAGGCACACAGTGCTCCATGAAGAGCGAGTCAATGGCACCTTCCTGGCCATCGTATCAGCTCTTTTGCTCAAACATTTCAGCCATTTTCTTTTGAAGACTCAAAATAGTTCAAGATCACTCAATAATATATGCTTTTGGGTGAATCCAGATTCTGCGCAGATGGAACATCGTCAGCAAAGTATCCAATAACAGTGGTGGAGTTCGCTGATTCATGATTTGAAAGCTGCGATCCATTTCGTTCGTATTCGTACATGTTCGTATCATTTGGAATCTTTGAATGTCTTTAGAATCGTTGAGTATCTTTGACCAGTTGCGAGGTCAAATGGCAACGTTGAAAATCGCTTATGGTCCCAGCGTCATGCTCCGCCAGGGTGGCCATGGCTGCCAGCAACCAACAGTCACCCAAAGCGCCTTGCCTAGGTGTGGCTGATGGTGACGGCTGAGACCGTAGAAGACACATTGTTTCTATATGTCTGTAGTTTGTTCTTGGAGTTGCCTCAACTTCAAGAGATGTATGTTTTGCAAATAGTGTCAGGTTATCGGTTATTGCAATCAAGCAACAAAATGTCTTGTGCCTCTATCCTGCTGGGGAAAATGTGCGAGGAGCATGAATCGCAACCCATGCTGCTTTGCATACTTTCAAAATCGTTCAAACGTAGTTGTAGTTGGATGGGAGCTGTAAAGTAGGTTGAATGTCGCCTTTTTGGGAACTGCTCATGGGGCAAAGCTGAACAGGTCAGCCTCATTTTTGCCGAAAGTGTCTGCGCTATGACTGCCCAAAAATCATCACCCTGAATCCTACTCTCCTTACTTCTCACCATGCAAAAATTGCAAATCACTGGCACGGTATGGGAAACTACCCACTGGGCTCACATCGCCAAACCGATTAAGCTGCGACCTGCTATGTAACACTTTCTTTTGCAGCATGTGGTCCTGCCCTCGAACAAGCACATCTTTGAATCCTTGGTTGTCTCTAGGATGTGATGGCAGCAAGGTGTTAGCACATAGCTCAGGACGACTCATAAGGTTTTGCATCAAAGCCGCTCTGTCGCGAACAACAAAACCAACAATGCAATGTCTGGCCAGCAGCCCAGTGAGTAAGGGCGTTTCAGGAAATTGTTCAGTCCACATGTCCACATGTTAGGATCTGTCCATCGCCAAACAGTTGTTTGGCGTTGCATGCTGAAGAGCAACCCCTGACTTCTCCAAGTGAAGACACGTCTTCCAGCACCCTTTAGGCTATCATGAGGCAATCTGTTGCAACATTTCTAAACAAACTAACAAATGCAGTGAATCTCGCCCAGCTTCTCCCAATGTTGGATGTGACGGTTTGGCACCGCTTTGTCTGCAGAAGTCCATGGCTCGGACCCAAGTAACAGTTGAGGCACCTGCGAAAAGAACTGATCATTCAAATGATCTAAAAATCGGTTGACAACTTATTGGATGATCCACCTAGCTCAAACTCTTCGTACATGAGCAAGTCTTCGTTATCATAAAATGGCTGAACATATCTGCGCAACCCTTGATGTCAGGAACATTCACTGCCAATCGATAGGCATTTTGTGGTGGTGTGGCAGCACTCTGCCTGTCCAGGGAAATGATATGATATATTGTGATATGGCCCTGGGTTCGCCCATGGCGCCTGACTTGCCAGACTTGGCGTTGGCATTGTCACCACCCACTTTCCCAAGGGATGAGTCCTTCAGGGCGTGTTGACGGGGCGCAAACAAAAAATGTCATGGAAGACTGAGCGAGAGTTCTGGCTGAAGAGGGTCTGTGTGAAACATTGTGCAATGTATGACCGTCCCTCTACACGTTGCACTGCATGCAGGGATCTTAAACATTCACAGTCGTGGAGTGCACATGTCATGGTGACGACGTTCAGCTCCTGGGGTGGGAAGTCTTGGTCCGTGTAGAACGAGGAACAGCATCCGCCAAAAATCCAATACATGCGCCAGCAGTATGCATACAAGCAGTTTGGCAGGTAGATTCTGATTGCCTGAGGTGCACCGGAGCTGAAAAACATGAAAATAGAATCTACTTCCTTCGAGTAACATGTTTCTGATTTATATCCTGGCATTCTTTCTGACATCTATTCTGACATTTGATCTGACATATTGAATTCCGTTTGACACTTTCTCTGGCTGCATGACACTTTAGCTAGCATTCTGTCTGGACTACATGCTGGCATTTGTTGTGACATATATTCTGACACTCTCATTCTATCTGACATCTATTCTGAGTCTGTCATGCTACATGGCATTCCACCGATCATATATTCCCAGTAGTACTGCGCAAGGCGGTGGCGGAAGTTTCAAAGAAAGGAAACTATAGGAGAGGTGAGTTGTTGTGATACATGGATGGCCGAGCGAACCCACTGATGGATTTCAAGGTCGTTGGGGTGTCGGGTTATCTATATATATCTGTCGATCTTCGTCTATCTACCTGTGTATCTGTCTATCTTTTCATCTGCCTATCTGTCCACCTATCTCGCTGGCTACCTGTCTGTCTATCGGTTTATCTATCTATGTGTATATAATTTGTGTCGAATCTACCTGGCGATTTATCCACCTATATATCTATCTATTGTCTATCTATTTATCTGTCTATCTGTCTGCTTGTCTGACCGTCAGTCTATCTGTGTATCTATCTGTCTGACTATCTCTCTTTCTGTCTATCTATCCGTCTATGTACCTATCTATCTATCTGTCTGCCTGTCTATCTATCAATCAATCAAACAAACAAATCTAATCAATCTACCTATCTGTCTATCTACCTATCTATCTGTCTATCTATTTATCTATCTATCCATCTATCTATCTATCTATTTATCTATCTATTATTCTATTCTATTCTGTTCTTTTCTTTTCTATTCTGTTCTTTTCTAGTCTGTTCTGTTCTGTTTTGTTCTATTCTACTCTATCCTATTCTACTCAATTCTACTCTATTCTGTTCTATTCTATTCTATCTATTCTTTCTAATCTATCTAACCTATCTATTCTAATCTATCTGATCTATCTGATCTATCTAACCTATCTAATCTATCGAATCTATCTAACCTATCCGACCCATCTAATCTACCTCATCTATCTATCTAATCTATCCTATCTATCCTGTCTATCTTATCTATCCTGTCTATCTATCTATCTAACTACCTATCTATCTATCGATCGATCGATCTATCGATCTATCGATCTATCGATCTATCGATCTACCGATCGATCGATCGATCTATCTATCGATCTATCTATCTATCTATCTGGTCTGTCTATCTATCTATCTGTCTTGTCTTGTCTTGTCTTGTCTTGTCTTCTCTTATCTTATCTGCCTATCTACCTATCTACCTATCTACCTATCTATCTATCTATCTATCTATCTGGCTATCTGGCTATCTGTCCATCTGTTTTTCTGGCTATCTGACTATCTGTCCACCTGTTGATCTGACCATCTGAGTGTCTATCTATATATGTATGTAAATATGTATCTATGATCCCCGTCTGGTGGACCCCGGAGAGTCGTGTCCTGGGAAAATAACTGGGTTAATTTGTGGATCCTGACCTTTCTGAGCATTAAAATCCTGGTGCCCTGACCTTTCTAGCTATAGAATTTACATTCTAAGACGAATGAAGCTTGCAGGCACTAACATCCTGTGTCTAAGGTTTCCAGGAGGGATTTTGTTCTCCTCTGGTACCAAATGAATTCCTGGGTGCCAACCCTCATACACTGCTCAAATAATCACCCGTAACATGCTGTTGCTAGACTATTTTTTGGGGTTGCAAGGATCACAACTGAGGATTGTTCTGGGTTGCAAGGATCACAACTGAGGATTGGCCTGGTGATGCGACTTTTTCCTGTGGGGCCAACCTTTGGAGATCATCCGCAAGTATTCAGCCAAAAAGGTCCAGCCTCTTGGATTTTATTTTCGACACCTGCGGCTCGACCTCTTCAAATCACTTTTTCTGCTGGTGAAGCTGAACATTTGTGTTTGTACCCTTTTGCATGGGCAAATGTATCTTCAGCTGTACAAGCATTCCATGGTGGCATATTTTTACTTGTGATAACTTTTGTAATTTCTGAACTGGAGCACCAGGAAAAAAATGAGCAGTGCGGCCGTGATATTATTGTCCCAATTAGAATCGACATGAGTGGGGTTACCTCATTACAGACAAACCCAAATCCAGCTACCTGTGTCCAAAAAGTACTGGAACAGATTCCTTTTCTGATGTCTGACCTATGTAAATCCAGCATTGTCACAGTACAAGAAATCCTTGTTCCCAACCTTGTGAATTCACGTAAAAAACCATACCCCCTCACACAAACATTGGTATGTTTTTCCTGGGGTTTGACATACATATATGATCGAATGAACTCACCGCCCATGAACAACGTGACAAAGTTATCTTCCTGTTGCCAAACATTCGTACGCCAAAGGAACATGATTTTGAACCAAAATGTCTTTCCTGGGTTGGAAGGGACGCATGGATGTAGTACATATGCAAATCCGTGATTTCAAAATTGTCAATTTTGGTACTGGACTCCCCAGAAAAAATACATCACCAGAGGGGGGTTATCCATGTGTCTATCTATATTTCTATCTTTCTATTGTCCTATGGTTTTATCGTTCTATGCATCCATCCATCCATCCATCCATCCATCCCTCCATCCATCCATCTATCCCTCCCTCCATCCATCCATCCATCCATCCATTCATCTAAGCTGGCGAGCAAAGGAGGACAGTTGACACAAAGTCTAATTAGACACCCTTACATGGCAGGGGATGCAGGTGGCGAACAACAAATCTCGCTGGTTCCTTCGTTCTTCCTTTTTCCAAAATGTTTCCATTGCTTCCACACAACCTTTTTTCATCAGCCCAGCTGCATGGATGGTCAGAACGACGGGGCTGAAGATCACGTTGTAGAAGCAGCAGGCCTGTCCATCATACAAGCTGGACCAGCACCAAAGCCACCGATCCGCCCGCTTCCTTCCAGGGCTATCTGCTGGCAGCTTCCAACGCAGAACACCGTAGAGCACCAAATATGTGACGAGCAGAACAAGCAAAACTACTGCCACGGTCCTTAGACTCCTAGAGTAGATGCCGTTGATCTGTCGCTCTGGGAAACTGATATTGATATGATATGGGCATGAAGAGGCTGTGAAGGATGGATGTTGGTGGAAGACTTTTGGGTTTTGCAGTGGACTACATGAGCGTTTCGTTTACAGCATTGCGTATATTGACAAACAGTCCAGGTATTCATGGTACAATGTATTCATGATATTCGCTGTCAAGGCGCTGAGGTACGTGTCCCTTCGGTTGCAGAGCACCATGGTGCAGAGCTGGAGCTGGAGTGGCTGGCTGAAACACAGGCCCAAAGGTGTTCCACCCTGGGGCAGGCGTTTGGCCGGGCACATACTGCATCACACATCAAACGGCCCGGTGGCTACCAGCTATGCTCAAGTTCCATCCACACGCGCTGGCATGAGAGTGCCCTGAAGTTTGTGCTTTCGAAAGAGGTGGCTGGAAGTGCAGCAACTTCAAGCTTTTTGCTGGCTTGGACAGAGGCGTCATTACAGATCTCTCGGTTTAACAGGAATAGACCTTTACTCTCGGATGGCGAATTTTGGTATGTGAATCTTGGTACGTTTGAATGAGCATCAAGGCATAGCAAACCAAAGCCATCTGTCCGGTAGGTACATAGGGTGACTCTTGCTCCTTGATTCAAGATGGCTGGCGGCACACTGCTGGGAAAAGGCACGCTTCGACAACCTATATCCTTGCCAAAAGAAGACAGAGAAGACAATAATGGTTGAAACCAGTTTAATGTCCTTGCATGGCTGTGCTCTTGCGTCAAAACCAAAACCACCGGGACAACTTCCTGACTCGAGAACATGTGTAGCAGCGTTTACATCCTTTCTAAATGTAACTAACAATCATCGGCTACGCTACCTCCGCACACCAGCGATCGCGACCGTGAGAACGAAGAATATGCACCTGTCGCAATGGATGTTTTACTGATGTTTGTTTGTATTGTATCCAGCAGATTCATGCCGATTCCACATGCAACCAAATGACATCTCATTCAGCCTGCCTTGCTGTCCGTGCCGCCACTGCCCCAAGACCCCAGAATGCCACGTGTCTTTGCAAATACAGGCAGTAGACTGAGACAACACCCCCAGAATCTGTAGACAAAAAACATAATAAACTATATTTTTGGAGGCCTCGGAAATGTTACAACACACGGATCGAACCACAAGTCTGGTCTGATCTGGTCTGTAATCCCAGGACATCAAGGGCTTTTCAAGAAACAACCCTTTGATTTTTTTAGAAAAGTTTGTTGCATGACCTTATTGGCACCAAATCTAATGTTGCAGGTGCAAAATGAATTGCCCTTTGGTTCAAAGTTAGTGCGGCTGGTTGGTAGCTCGATCCAACTCTTCCAAAAATTCACTCATCCTGCTATGGCATGTTATAGGATATGGAATGCTACAGAGAAGAGATATCATCAAACCATAAACTATCCCAGAAATACGCCGGGATCCATCATCTCCCAATCGCATTTCAGGATCCATTTAAACTCGTCAACCAAAAACCCGGCGTTGCTGGCTGATTGTTGAACTCCAGTGAAAACGGGAGGATTCTACACGCCCAAATGCCAATTGAGTTTCAAATGGCTATGAAGGAAAAAATGGCACCCTAGGTACCCTAAAATAGTTTGTTAAATGTTTCTTCACCCAAATATGAGAATCATAGGTTTTGACCGGTCACGCGCGGATTCGGAAACTAGAACCGCGGATTCGGAAACTAACGGGCACGCGGATTCGGAAACTAAGATTCGGAAACTAACACACATGGGGGTGGGAATTTTGATATCATCGGACCCTTGTGGACATTCCAAGTCAATGTGAAGTTCCATGGGGATGGGAATTTGGATATCATCTGATCCTTGTAGACAGTCTAAGTCAATGTGAAGTTCCACGGGCGGGGGAATTTTGATATCATCTTTTCCTTGTTGACATTCCAAGTCAATTTGAAGTACCACGGGGGTGGGAATTTTGATATCATCTGATCCTTGTGAAAAGTCCAAGTCCATGTGAAGTTCCATGGGGGTGGGAATGTTGATATCATCGGACCCTTGTGGACATTCCAAGTCAATGTGAAGTTCCTTGGGGTTGGGAATTTGATATCATCTGATGCTTGTGGTCATTCCAAGTCAATGTGAAGTTCCACGGGTGTGGGAATTTTGATATCATCTGATCCTTGTGGTCATTCCAAATCAATGTGAAGTTCCATGGGGGTGGGAATTTTGATATCATCTGATCCTTGTGGACAGTCCAAATCAATGTGAAGTTCCATGGGGGTGGGAATTTTGATATCATCTGATCCTTGTGAAAAGTCCAAGTCAATGTGAAGTTCCATGGGGGTGGGAATGTTGATATCACCTGATCCTTGTGGACAGTCCAAGTCAATGTGAAGTTCCATGGGGGTGGGAATTTTGATATCATCATCCTTGTGGACATTGCAAATCACTGTGAAGTTCCACGGGGGTGGAAATTTTGATATCATTGTCATCTGATCCTTGTGGACCTTTCAAGTCAATGTGGGGGTGGGAATTTTGAGATCATCTTATCCTTGTGGACAGTCCAAGTGAATGTGAAGTTCCACGGGGGTGGGAATTTTGATATCACCTTATCCTTGTGGAAAGTCCAAGTCAATGTGAAGTTCCATGGAGGTGGGAATTTGGATATCATCTGATCCTTGTAGACAGTCCAAGTCAATGTGAAGTTCCACGGGGGTGGGACTTTTGATATCACCTTTTCCTTGTGGACAATCCAAATTAAATTGAAGTTCCATGGGGGTGGGAATTTTGATATCATCTGATCCTTGTGGACAGTCCAAGTCAATGTGAAGCTCCACGGGTGTGGGAATTTTGATATCATCTTTTCCTTGTGGACATTCCAAGTCAATTTGAAGTTCCACGGGGGTGGGAATTTTGATATCATCTGATCCTTGTGGACATTCCAAGTCAATGTGAAGTTCCATGGGGGTGGGAATGTTGATATCATCGGACCCTTGTGGACATTCCAAGTCAATGTGAAGTTCCTTGGGGTTGGGAATTTTGATATCATCTGATGCTTGTGGACATTCCAAGTCAACGTGAAGTTCCACGGGTGTGGGAATTTAGATATCATCTGATCCTTGTGGTCATTCCAAATCAATGTGAAGTTCCATGGGGGTGGGAATTGTGATATCATCTGATCCTTGTGTAAAATCCTGATAGATTCTGAAGCGCGTTCGTTTCAAAATGGCGATAGTTTCAGAATCGTAGTGTGTGAATCGTAGTTTCTGAATGGCGTTAGTTGCTGAATCGCGATTGGTTCTGGATCGTAGTTTCTGAATCGCAATATAGTTTCTGAATCGCGATATAGTTTCTAAATCGCGATAGTTTCTGAATCGCGATATAGTTTCTAAATCGCGATAGTTTCTGAATCGCGATAGTTTCTGAATCGCAGTTTCTGAATCGCGATAGTTTCTGAATCGTGGTTTCTGAATCACTATAGTTTCTGAATCGGGATAGTTTTTGAATCGCGATCGTTTCTGAAGCGTAGTTTCTGAATCGCCACAGTTTCTGAATCGTAGTTTCTGAATCGTAGTTTCTGAATCGCGTTAGTTTCAGAAGCGTAGTTTCTGAATCGCGATAGTTTCTGAATCGCGTTAGTTTCTGAATCGCGATAGTTTCTGAATCGCGATAATTTCTGAATCGCGATAGTTTCTGAATCGTAGTTTCTGAAGCGCGTTGGTTTCTGAATCGCAATAGTTTCTGAATCGGTGGAAATAGTTTCTGAATCGTAGTTTCTGAATCGCAGTTTCTGAATCGCCGTTAGTTTCTGAATCGGCTTTGAACCGGTTTTGACCCATCCCCAAATGAGAAAATACAGTATTCTATTCATCAGCCTTGAATCACTTTGGTTCTGGACGTCTCCCGTGCCTCCTGACGAAGCATGTCATGGTGCCTTGGCTTGGCACAACACATGTAACCCCAAACGTAGTAAGTCTATGAGTGATGGGCCATAGATGAATTAAAACATATTATTAACATATCCCCCTTTGTATTAAGTAAAAAGGGTGGGCGTCACGATTCTATAGAGGTCCGGGGGGGGCCTAGAAGTGGGATAGAATGGAACCCCACCTCTATAGAATGGAGGGCCTGGGCCAGCAGATCTCTATAGAATGGAACCCCGTCTCTATAGAATGGGGCCTCCGAGGGTCTCACAAACAGAGACATGTCTATAAAATGGAAGAACCGGTGTTTGACTTGAAAAATGCTTAATTTCAATTTCCCCCCTGTTTTTGGTCTATAAAATGGTACACAGAAGTTGTACATTTATGTGAAAATCATTGGTTTTTGTGGGCACTCTGAGAGTACCATTCTATAGAGATTTTCGGAATATTCTGGTCGACCTGTCGACCTTGAAAACTTTCAAAGTTCCATTCTATAGAGTTTTTGGGTTTGTTCAACTGCCCCTTTCTCCCGTACCCATAGGGTAGATGTTCACAACCCATTGCTAGGAAGCATGGGCAGCTCAAACTGCAGCACTACCGCTTTTCGGCGATGTTCCCAGCTGCAGGCCGGAAACCTCCGAAAACAAAATGTTTCGGAAGCTTCCTGTCGCTGCTTTGACGTGCCTCACGCTGCATTCTGAAATGCGAATCTGCAGCAGGATCCTGTGTAGTGCCATTTATCGAAGGCCAACCTTTGTTTCCACCTGTGTAATGCCATTTTATAGGCAGCAACCTTTCCGTATGCACAGCAAGCCTATAGAATGGCATTCATGACCAAATCAATCCAAATCACTTCAAGGTGCTTGGAAGCATAGCCCAAACCCCTCCCCATGCTTCATTTTGAAGGCTTTTGCACCACACTCACCCCATCTTGACTCTTCCCAACTCATTGTTTGGAAGCATGGGCAGCTCAAACTGCAGCACTACCGCTTTTCTGAGGTGTTCCCAGCTGCAGGCCGGAAACCTCCGAAAACAAAATGTTTCGGAAGCCTCCTGTCGCTGTTTTGACGTGCCTCATGCTGCAGTCTGAAATGCGAATCTGCAACAGAATCCTGTGTAGTGCCATTTTATAGAGGGCCAATCTTTGTTTCCACCGGTGTAATGCCATTTTATAGAAGGCCAACCTTTGTTCCACCTGTGTAATGCCATTTTGTAGGCAGCAACCTTTCCGTATGCACAGCAAGCCTTAGAATGGCATTCATGACCAAATCAATCCAAATCACTTCAAGGTGCTTGGAAGCATAGCCCAAACCCCTCCCCATGCTTCGTTTTGAAGGCTTTTGCACCCCACTCACCCCATCTTGACTCTTCCCAACCCATTGTTTGGAAGCATGGGCAGCTCAAACTGCAGCACTACCGCTTTTCTGAGGTGTTCCCAGCTGCAGGCCGGAAACCTCCGAAAACAAAATTTGTTTCGGAAGCCTCCTGTCGCTGTTTTGACGTGCCTAACGCTGCAGTCTGAAAAGCGAATCTGCAACAGGATCCTGTGTAATGAAGCATTGAATGGTTTTGTTTTTTCAAAAAGCACAACTGGTGTCTATAGAATGGGAAATCGAAATTCTGAAGTGATCGTTGTTGAGAACCCTGAATCTCTATAGAATGGAAACTCCAGCGTCCCTCAGATGAGGTCAAATAGCAACCAGTACTCTTCTATAGAATGCAAGATTCAAACATTGAAAACCCACAAACCCATACAAACCCTAGAAACGTGGGGCCCAGGGTCACCATTTCCCAGAGGAAACTCCAAGGGTGATATTAAAATTCTATTTAAAACTAACCTCGAAATTTCAACCATATTTTAGACCAGGGTACTAAGCTTTTGATAGCCGATAGCCATATTATGATGAACTACAGCTGGTGTCTATATTATTGTCCATGCGATGTGATGTAGGGGCAAACAATTGACATGGGAGGCAGGAAGTGACTTTCTCACACTGCGAGTTTATTTAAACGTTGCTTTCCAAATGCAGCATCAAGGGAAAATCCTCTGAAATAGAAGCAATAATGTTTTGCCATAGGGAGATTCCTGAACGAATGCATACACTATGACTCACTATGGCAATCGAATCTATTGCATACCCAATAAGTCCCTTCCCACTTTGAAGTTTGGAATAAGCCAAGGTTCCCAGAGGAGGACCTGGCAACAGCTTTGTGGATGCGCTACCACTGGCAAACTGCACTACCCAAAAACAACTGGCATTCACTGTATTCAAGGCACTTGATCTTGGTTTCGAACGCATTACCGGGATTCTGCTTCGGGTATTGAACACACATCCCTTGCACCCCGCACAGCCTGAGGTACACCACCAGACTCTGCACTGAACGCCTGCAGCCCGAGTTAAGACTAGTGATTCTATTTATATAATTTGCTGCGATCACTCTCTTGAAAGACTCTGCTGAACTGCTTGTCCACAGTGTATTCACGTCAAACCGGCAAATGTAAAATGCGTGACCACAAACATCACAGGCTACAAAAACGCGCAAAATGCTTGCAAGTGGCAAAATGCTTTTGGCAATTCTGAGGGACTTGGAGCAAGGACGATACATGGATCATATTAAACATCGTATCATAACATCACTTCCTAGCATCCAGAAAATGCGTGACCACTTACCATCCAAGTCCAGCCGCAGCAACTTTTCTGACCCACTAATTAGCTCTACAAATGGGCAACCCAGCTCTACATATCAGTTACATATCTCTATTGCTTATCTCTGGGCAACCCAGCTCAAGCCACAGACTGGGCAGACTGATCTCATTCACCTTGGGCCCAGCACAGTTGCCCCCGTGTGTCCAAGTCTGTGGCATGATGGACCGCTCATGCAAATGCATGCAAATGGCGGATTTCAAACACAAGATATGAATACGTAATTACTGTATGTATCTGTTTGACACGTTCAAATTTGAGATCTAAGGCAAATCGAAACAGCGACAATCTATCCCTAGAAATTCCCACGGTAATTAATTACTATACTTGCCGTCAGCTTTAGTCCTGTTCACAGTAACTTAGAACACCGGGGCCATTGCCAGTGACATCCTCAACTAAGTTGGGCCAGCATAGCTGTCAAAACCGCGTCCCAACATATTTCAGAATTCTCCAAGCGTGAGAGCGTGATGTTTCAGAAAGAAATCTATGTCTTCACGGTCTTTACCCACTCTTTTTGCAACTGCTAAAGGAAGTCGCCGCGCTCTTCGCGGCCTTTCCGCCATCCTGGGGCGTGCTTCAAAGATTTTCTGGGATACGATTCAAAGCCTGGGGAAAGCTACAGGAAAATGTTCATAAAATGAATGGTTGGAAGATGTTGGAAGACTGGTGCCAATCCACAAGGATCTTCAAGGATCTGCAGATGATCTGCATGATTGGAGTCCTCGCGATGGCCATGGTAGCCATAGGCCTAGCCAAATCAGGGGCAGCAAAGACGGTAACGTGCAGCACCAAAGTACTCATACATAGCTGCGTGCAACGATAAGCTGTACATGCTTACTACATCTTATTATATCGCTATATACATGATTGATCATGATTGTATGATTGATGATATTGTACGATGATCATTGCTTATCCCAAGCGAAAAAAAAAAAAAAACAGTGTACTGCCAGCAATGATTTGTAATGTTGGTGAGATATGTTGCGTCTCGCCTGCAATCTCGGCAATTTTGAAGGGTGGTGGCGCAATACCTTTGCCCCTTGGTTTATGCAGCGGCGGCTGTGGCGTTCAATTGTGTCCGAAGCAACATGACTCTAAGCTTCAATGGGAGGGCAACCACATTGCAAAGAAGCACAAGAAACAGAATAATATATAGGCTCGTTTGAAGCATGATTAATTACCAGCATTATTGCCACACATAATTACTGCAGAGGCTACTTATACACACCTTCTTGTATTCACACACACACGCACACACACGCACGCACAGGAACAACAGAGCTTGTTTCAGCTGGGAACAAGTTCCAACTACCGAGTTCCACCAACACCTTATGAGATCATGGTTCCTGCGCAAGGCCTAAATATGTGCGAATGTTAACACACAAACATTGAATTATTATATTATTATCATTATTTCATATATTTCTATTGTTATTGTTATAATGTGCTGTTATTATAGTTATTATTTGTTATAACCTATTATGGTTATCAAATATTGAGCTATTGCAGAATGAAGCAGGATCGTCCATGACAACCCAAAGTTCCAGCCATTTCCAGCATATGTAAGCATTGTGCTCAGATACCCCAATCCCAACCTTAAGACCTTAGGATGGACCACACACTCCAAAGTCATCCAATGGTTGGGTCCAAGGGAATGGGAACTGGCCTGGCACCTGGCAATTCCATCTGAGGCACATCAAGGCCTCATTGCCTGGCCCAGTGGTCACCAGCTCCATGGGCCTTGTCTGTGGTTTTGGAGGATGAGGATGTGTCAATGTGGGAATCTTGAGCATCTTTGCTAACGCCAAAGCAGTGGATCTACAAAACGATCTTATAAGATCTGATAGCTTTTGCTGCCTGCGATTTGGTTTGCTAGTTCCGGTGGTTGATGTCTGATGGATCTTGTAAAGCCCACTTTCAACAACTCCAGGATGTGTTCAGAGTGTCTTCAGGATTGTTAATCGTCAAAGTTGATAATGATACTGTAAACAACACAACATGTTGATCCCAATACCCAAAAAGGGTTGAAGATGTTGAAGATGTTGAAGATGTTGAAGATGTTGAAGCATGGTAGGGGGAAACTTCCACACCGATCCAGGTTCCCAGGCAATTTCTTGATCTTTCCTTGAAATCCAGCTTTCTTCAGCCGGACCGAAGCAAATGTCCTGTGACTGCTGACACACGTTGGAAAAAAGGTGATCCATGGTGATCCCATGAAGTCAACCAAAGTGTTCATGATTCCATGGTGCCAATTGGTGCCATAGTGATTCCTTTCATGTCGAAAATGAGAAAATGGCCAACGTGATCCGCGAAGAAATTGTGTGTGTGAGTGCCCGCGGCAGAAAACGCTGAAAGGAAGGTCAGTAGCTACTGGCAAAGTGCCAAAAAAGGTTCAGTGTCCAATGAAATCATGATCGATCATCATAAGCATCACACGGTCGCATCCAGACGTCTTTCCATTCCTTGGTGAACCAAGGCTCGCAACAGCACCAGCCCTGACTGATCCAGATATACCTTCACACGACGTGCTGTTACTTTGAAGGAATGTGATGCAAATTGATGGTATTTGATAGCTGCAGGTCCAACCATGTGAAGATGCTTGTTCGACTCAGGCGCTGTTCCTGATCTGTGGCTGCGTGTGCTGATTTACCACCAGTCATTGCTGACATTTGCTGACGTGGGAGTCAAGAAATTGTCTTTTGTCCAGCGTCCATTCTGATGTTGCTACTACACATACATTCTAGCAAGGGCGCTCTATCTATTCAAATATTTCACAACCCGATTGCTGCGCTACACCAAGAGTATTCTCAAATATCTCAACTTGATCTCTTGAAAGCTGCCAAGGAGCACCGCGGTAGAGCTCACCGAGCAAATCACGAGGATAGATAGGAACACCTCAAATGGGGATCCCATGCCGTTCGTCTCGCAAACAAACTGCTTGTTGTTTGAGGAACTACCAGACCCACCAAATATAGATGTCAGATGATGTCAGTAGGTCAGCAGGCGGAGCATGATGACCTGGTGGTAAAGCCCGCAACCAAAGTGCTGAAACTTGAGAGCATGAGACATGACTGAACCAACTAAAACCTGAAATTGTAATCAGGGAGGGTGCCACAGCTCACGAAACAATGACAATGGTTCGGTTGCCAAGTGACGAGACCACTTCATCTCCTATCGCTGTGTGTCTTCCACATGAATGTCAGCTAAGGCTGTGTGGGCTTAATTGGCTCGCAACTTGAAAAGCAACACGATTCTGAAAACATGTGAACAATTGCTTCAGTGTAGTGTACGAGGAGAATCTCGGGCTTTGTACTCAAGCAGCATGGATGCTCTGAGCAATCCTGCCTTGTGGTTCCAACCCCTCACTTCACATTTGAGCTCATCACCCAAATCCTTGGTTCGTGAACAGAACAAGAGATTGCACGGAACATGGTGCCAAGATGTGCCAAGTAGTGGCCAGGCTTTCCAACCCTCTTGCCGACCCTCAGCACGAAACCATTTATCCAATAAATTCGATTATTCAAAATTCCACGGGGAGAACGCCAAATGATGTATTTCATGCGCAAGGCTCTTCACAGAAATCGCACTGTCTGGGATCATACCATGCGGCACCTTGGTTGTCCCAAGGAATGGCTGTCAGCCTAACACTTGGGCTGCAGCTATGCTTCATCTGGCCACTTGGCCCACTGTTTGCATGATAAAATTAGATGATATCAGATCCACACAAAGACGTGTTTTTCCGAAAATCTGATTGGTCATCCTGGCTTTATTCTGAAGGCACAGGCAAATGTCTTTTTCTCGGACAAGAACCTTGGTAAGTGTACCAACATACAGTCACACCATTGTAAAAGACAGTGCTTACTCACCAAAGCTCTAGGAAGCGGACTCATGAAAACATAAAATAAAACATTGACCTGATGTGAGAGGGATTGAGCCTAGAGATCCCAATGTTTGATGCATATTTTAGATCAATTCCATTCTGAGATGGTGGCCACGAAGGAACATCTTAAGCACTTACCTGTTGTATCATATTCTGTAAATTTGTCCCCTGTTTACATCAAAAATCCTCTAACATGGTCTGAAGAAAAAATCTGAAGAAAAAACAACTCACCTAAGATCCATCGTCAAAAGCATAAACAGCATGGCATGATCTGAGGCTACTCAGGGTCCACCGACGCCCACCGACGGTTGTTGAGACACATGCTTGTTTCACATTGCCTCCAAGCAAAGCGCAGTGCTGCGGACGGCGCCGGCTATCACCTTGGCAACATGCCCATCTCGTCAGTGTTGAGAAAGCATCCTGTCGAACATGTGCAAATGACACGTCGTCATAGTATGACGTGCGTACTATGCAATAGTATGCAATAGTATGCAATATATAATATGCAATAATATGCAATAATATGCAATAATATGCAATAATATGCAATAATATGCAATAATGATGTAGTGCTTATGGAAGCAGTACAGGTCAAAAGCATTTGCGCCTGAGTATTGTGAATTTACAGGGATACAGAGCCTGTTCAAAACGAGCTCTCAAAGCTACTGGTATGCAATTCTGTGCTGCCCCGCCTTCCAGGATCTCACAATGGGTTCAACCCGTACAAGGAGATCACAAGGAGATTGGATTGAGCACTGTGTGCACTCCAGGTTCCATGAATGGAATAAAGTTTTTGGATGTTTTCCGTCAGTTCCTGAGCTGCAAATCAGTGACAAATGTAGTAGTCGTCCGGAGCCCCGTTGCTTTGCTCCACCTGCACCACGATGCAGGGTGCGGCTAGAAAAGGATGTCAAGGTGTGCCTGGTACTTGTATGTGTGTCATGTTCATGCTGGAATGGTTAGTGCCGTCACACATACAGTATATCAAAAGATATCAAAAGATATCAAAAGATACATGTTTGGCATTTCATTGATCAACTAAACATCGATGTTGCACTAAGATCCTCCTGCAGGACTCTTGTCCATGGCCTCTTCTCACATTCTGTATGGTTTCTGGATGCCAGGATCCGTTTCCACCTTGTAGACATAGTCGGTGGAATGGAGGCCACCGCTGTCAAAGGCCCATGTCCCAGACATTCCATGCACTGCCTGCAAATGAACCCAGATGGCCAACACAAGTTGTTCAAACGTCTACCTGGCTTCAGACTCAGTTCTTGTTCAAGCTTCAGGGGACGGTCCAAAGCCAAAAGCATCAAAAGCACGGTACCCGGCCCAGTACCTGTAACAAAGGTACTTGTTGCACAGGCCACAGCAGAAATCTAGAATAACAAGTTACAAGATGTTACAAGTACTTACTTGATATCCAATGTTCTTTTTCTGCTACTCAGGCCCTGCAGGAAGTTTATCAGCTGCATTCAGCTGCTCTTATATCCGATCTTCTTGCCTGACCCCAGACCGTGATAGGAAGCTTGGCCTCAGATGCCGCAGAATGCCTGAGGTTGAACACCTCTGACCTGTCTGTGATTGTCTGTGGCAAGTTGCTTTCATGGTCGTCTTGCCACCGAGCATAGCCTGAAAGCTGCGGTTCCATGGCAATTCAGCCCATTCCCTGCCAAATCTGAAATCTTCCTTCCATGATAGCTTACTCTTTTGAACGATCGCTCCTGCTATGCAGGCGGAATGAAGAAACATCAGGAGGCCAGTGTTCCTAGAGTCAAAGCATGTCAAAGCAAGAAGGATAGAGCAGGCTCTAGCTGGCTTAACCTATCAAATCAGAAAATTGAAACAAAGCCTTTGCAGCCGAATGGCAAGGTCCGCACCAAAGGCACTCTTTTCCACAGCGCTGGGATTGTCGAGTCCGTACGGCATGTCGATCATGCGCGCGTTACCTGAGTGATGATGATCTTACACGTTCCAATGAAAGATCTGCCAAAGCAAGGAGGTAAAAACTAAAATTGCCGCCGTACAAGGGGTCCGGAAGTAGATGTTCAACGTCCATTGTCAAAAAAAAACTTGAAGCATGTCACCATATGTCATCCTTTTTCAAGTTCCCAGTAGGAATGACGGAACCACAAGCGATACGCACACATTGTGTCTCCGGTGGCTCCAGGGAAACTTATATGATATCATATTAATTCACATTTTATAATACAGATATGATATATGACATAATATTTATTCCATGTTTGCATTTTGCAGCCACGGTTGCATTCAGAATTCTGGGCACCACCGCCGGCCCTAGGAGCTGGCAATTTCTGAGGGACTTGGAGTTCCTGTAGGAATAAACTGATTTGATATGGAACATTATGGAACAATCACCATGGCCAATTCTAGACTAAAGATGACTAAAGCAAATGAAATTCCTGTGAAAGGTGAGGTAAAATAAAATAGTATAAATGCCGATGCCTTAAATGCCTGACAAGATCGGGGAAAAGTAGTTGACTAAGTAGTTCGTTTCAAGGAGATTGTGAAATCATGCTGCAAATCTTGCCAACTGACAGGATTCCACGCAATTCAACCCCTTCGCTTGAGGATCAAGCAAACTTTGGGCCATGCTGACAGCGTTCCCCACGGCGTTTGCCACATTTTGCAACTGCACCGTGCTAGGCAGTCGACCAAATTCTGTGGATATGCTTCGGGAAACTTACATACATAAAACGACCACCACATTCACATTATTCAATCATTATTCACTTGTTTTGATCAAGTAACATGAGCTGTTTCGGATACAGCAAAGTGTACAGTAGGACTCAAGGCTGGAGGGACTAACGATATGTAAATATAGAAAGTACACGTGTCGGCAACTGGTAAGCTAAACTAAACTCACAAAAAACAACTCAACACGCAAGCTTCCACTCAGCTGTCCTTATTCAAGTTGCCAAGTGCACCCCCAAGACCACCGCCGCTCAGTGGAGGCCTAAGAAGACATGGACGGAAGCGTCACAGCAACCACCTTCAAGGTGCAAGCGCAGGCACTTTCTGAGCGAAAACATAAACAACCGACGTAGCCAAGCAGCAAAGCTCGATGAATGGATAGATCCGGATAGATGCAAAGAGTTTTTGACGGAAGTCTTTCAACCCATCATCATCATCATCATCATCATCATCACCAGCAGTGTCACTCCCAACTCTCCCAATCCAAGCAGCGGCTTCTCGACAGGAAGTTCGCAAGCGCCTGGCAGCTCAATACGCAGTGCTGAGATCCGTCTATACCAACGTCTCCATTCTCAAACACATTGTTAATGTGGTTGTCTTACTGATTACGTAGTGCAAAGCAATAAGAAAAATGCTACCAGACAAAGCCTCTCATAGCTTTTAAGTTGCAGGATGCTCACCCCGTCAAGAGAGATTGCTGGATCTTTTTGCTTTCAACACATTTGTGCAAAGTGAATCAAAGTGAAATCTACAATGCTTTCGCCAGCTTTGAATCACAGGGGTTCAGATCCTTTGAGGGTTAACCACCCCAATTGAATTGCCTTGATCGTTGCCCCACCAGCACACAACAAATGTGACTGAAAGTATCTGAAAGTCATCGAAAACGATACACATTGGTATTCTAGCCAAATGAAGCAATCCTTTCGGTCTTTCTGGTTTAATGAGTTTAATGATTGTGAGTGGTTCACACCAAACATCCCAAACCCCCTGAACCACGAGTGCGATTTTTGCTCAAGTGAATTTGTCGCCCATTCAGCTTCATCCTGAACTGCTTAACAACTCCCAGCATCTCTGTTTCGTTGGGCGAATTTCTGTTTCGGAACAAATATGAAGAATCACAATTTGGAAATCTTGACAGAATGAAATCTAAGAATGCTGAGCAGCACCTTGCCATTCTCATCCATTCTCTACTTGCAATCCTTGAGTAGGAACTGACTAGCACCATGACTCACCTTTGGGCTCCACGAAGGACATGGGGTCCTTGACGTCAGGGCTCCATCCCACCTCCCGAACAGACTGGTGGCCAAGCCATGAAGAAAACCATATAATACTCATGTGTGTTACAGTAACATGTATGAATAATGAATATGAATATATATATATATATATTTGTGTATCAGATTAATATCCAAGAACAGAAAATCGAAGCAACCATGCTTGACTTCGGTCATAACATGTCATAACAACACATGGGACGTTTTCTCATTCCCTCTTAGTCTGCTAGTGAACAATCTGACTGTGGTCTGGTTCCAAATGAGGGCAGTCGACGGAGAAGGAGCTCCTGTTAAGATGACAAGAGAGTCGTAACTGACAAAACTTATATATCTTACAAACGATTTTGAATATATATATATACAGATGATATGTATATATATATATACACCATGTTTATGGAAACATGTTGCCCGCAAAGTCATGTCGTTGACTCCACTCCGCAAATTCCGCCTTTGGAACTTTTGCACAAGTGGCATGAACTTCATTACCTGATGAGCTTTCCCGATGCCCCCATGTTGTCGTGCTCTGGATTTCGTTTGTCTTTTTCGAAAGCTAAACACGGGGGTCTCTAGGACTTAGTGAGTCAAGGATGTTTCGTTGCCTTAGAATTGACTGGAGTGCTATCTCGATAAGCAAAGGTTTGACACTTCTCTATTGCAACAAGTGTTGAGGTAGGCGACTCAATTTCAAGAGTAACTTGAGCATTGCAACATACTGGGACCACAGATAGCAATGGCTTTCTTCCCACAAACTAAACCCTTGTTGCTGCTGTCATAGTTCGTAGTAACATGAGTGATGGGAATCCACAGGGTGTTTCTTGGCACAAGCAAGGGCAAAGGCAGTCTTGCTATGTCTTGTTCGATCTTATCTAAATGAAGATATCATACTGTGTCAATGAACATCTCTTGCAAGTCTTTCGCCCGTCGTGGCTGTACAAATCCATGCATCTCAAAGCTGCAACTCTCTTCCTCTGGATCTCTGCATGGCATGCCAGTCAGCGGATCGGGCATGAAGCGAGGCCTGAAGCAGGAACAACATGAGGCAACCGTGTGTTCAGGGAATTGGAGGATGTTGGGTATCTGACGGTACAGTATCTGGGTGTATCATCATGATGTCCAATATCGCCGATATCCCAAGAGTTCAAGCTCAAGGTTTTGACAAACGCATACAAAATAAGTATATGAGTTAAAATATCAAATAATAATGCACTGATTTTGGATATGAAGTGATTCACCACAATTCACCACGATTCACCACGATTCACCCATCTCACCAACAGGATGTTCCTTGTACAGCGCAGGAAGGAGCTCCCATGGTGAGTCTCCTGTGCTGGCGCACGGCCCTGGCCGAAACCAACAAGCCCAGCTGCAAGGCAAGACTTCAACTGCCTTCCACCGAGAATTTTCTGGAAATCAGTTTGAGCATTAAGACTGGTGAGGAATCCTAAGATCTTTCAATTCACACACCTTGAATTCAGAATAGATAACACTAACATGACGGAAATTCAAGAGTCTTAGTGTGAGCATGTCTGAGGGTCTTGGGTAGGTTCTGATCGTTGGTTTCTCACCATTTGCACAAATGTTTTCGACTGCTTCTTGTGGCTCCGAGTGCCACGGCAGATCCACCAGCGAGGGCATGGCTGCGACGGAGGCAGAGCATGAATAAACTAATGAACTGTAGATCTGGAAGAAGTTCACCATCATGTCTTCCACATACGCACGTAATATTTATCTGTATCTAATTTGTATCTCTATCTCACTCTATCTCTATCTCTATCTCACTCTATTTCTTTATCTATCTATCCATCTATCTATCTATCTATCTGGATTGATATATATATATATATTATACATACATATTAAGCGGTGGTATTCCTCTCGTGCTTGGCGATCTTTGGCAAGTTTGTTCGAGTTGGTGCTCTTGTGCCGTTGCTGTTTCGTGATCTTTTCCAAGGGCTGTGCCAAAGAGGCCAAACATGAAGGATGAAGATGCACGAAACAGATCTCCAGGGTTCCATCACAAAGTATTTCCATGTCATTTCCCACAGTAAAACGATCGTTTCAATATCAAACCATGCATAACAAAATGATAACACTTTTCTTAGTAAGTGTCAATGGCAATCACCGCCAAAAAAGTTCCACCTCTGCGGAGAACTTTACACTTACTGTATGAGCCTCTCCAGCGAAGGCAACATTTACATGAACATATTTTAACATATTCATGATGTTTGTTCACAAAAAGCAACGTTGAACGTCGCTTCCTTCGCTGCTTCAAAGAGCCGAAAGATTCTGCCGCTCCTGGCATTCACTGACATCAGGACATGAAACTCAGCGGTTGAATCAACACGTCGTCAGCTTGCGAAGCTGCCCATGCCGTTCCAGAAATCTCGCCGCTCAGCACAGCACTGTCATCAACCACATGGGCCAAAAAAAACTCTGCGCCAATGGTCGTAGCCCTGTGGCCTCCAAAAGAGTCAGGGCAAAAGGTTGCTGATTCCAAGGCCTCTGCGAGGCATCCTGTCATTTTGTTCATCTTTTCATATCTTTTCTATATTCCGGTTGATGCGTGTTTTCACAAGTGATTGGGTCAAAATCTGTATGTTTCACTCTAGCTTCTATGAAACCCACCCTCAAATCGGTTGAATCATGTTGAATCGTTATCCACTTCACCAATGGAAAACAAAGTGGAATTGCTCAACCACTTTGCGCAGCTGCTTGATGGCGACACAACTCTTCAGGTCAAAACATAGGTTTGATCCAGCTGCCTCGATTCAAAACCTGAAACACTGATACCATCTCAAGAAAGACTGATGAGATGTTCTCATCGTAAGTCATTTACCAAGAAAAGTCCGAAAAGAATAGAATATATATATATATACTGAGAACAATAATAAATAGTAATAATATAGACTAGAATAAGGATGCAGCTCGGAATGAACGGATTCTGATGGCTTTGTTTGAAACCATACGACAAACAAAACCAAGGCCAGCAGCAGCACTTTCAACCTACTTCTACTATCTTCCACTGCACCGATGCGATCTCACATTATTTCACCAGCCTGCCTCTTGGTGGAACTCAGCACGTGGAGGTCGGCGCAAACCACAAAAGCCACGAAAGCGGCCACGCACTGCACCCTCTGCACCCTGCAAGGTTAGAGATTTTAGAAATCTTTATATCGAACTGACAATGCAAAGTATTGTATTTTCTTCCTGAATGGAAAAACCTGCACAACTTCTCTTTTAAGGCATTTGTATGTTTTTGTCGATTATATACACACTATGCGGACAGACTTTCCTTCAACGTGTGAGCTCCCAGGAAAGTTGTTCAATTAGGCACCTACATCACGCGGTCTTCCACTTAAACTAGCAAGGTGATCGTGCAAATCAACTCGGTTGATAGTCTTGTATATATATATATACATTGTGTATATACATATCACATATGTATATATATATATCATATATTTTAAATATATAAATAACATTTATCATATGTTATATTGTATATTCTACAGATGTATTCATATTACAACATCTGTGCCCCCAGGAGCCTGAGCAATCTTTTCTGCTGCTCCAAGCAAACCCTCCAAAGGCCTGGCGCAACAAAGCCAGGCCAAGCAACAGTCTTAAACCAATGGTGAGTTGCCATCTATTAGATTAGTCTATTATATACTTATATAATTACTGTATATATATAGTCTATTACTTATATGATTACTGTATATATATACATAACATATATATATAACATATATATATATATAACATATATATATAACATATATATATAACATATATATATAACATATATATATAACATATATATATATAACATATATATATATAACATATATATATAACATATATAAACCAATGGTTTCACAAAGCCAAGAGATTTCATGAGATTTGATGACACCCCGCGGCCTCACCACCATACTGGCAGCACCAAGGGCAGTGCCAGAAGCCAAACCAACGAGGCCATCCTGTAGCGTGCGCGTAGCTACATTACAAGTCGTGTTGCACAACGTGGATCAATGGCACAAACAACATGATATGTGTATATATATATTTATTTATTTATTATTATTGTACTATATCTAATATTTGAATTTATTTGTATATATTTGTATATACATAATTTGACATAGTAATGTATGTACAGTGTGCACAGTGTCCAACAATTTTGCTTATGGTACAGTCGCTGTGTGCACTTAAGCAACGATTCATTTTCAATGACTGTTCAATTGTTCGCGCGTAAACTCGCATCAGGTTTCACTTTTCTTTTGCTGGATCAAGAGGTTGCCGGGGTGAGATGTTGTGCATAATCAGACAATGATAATAATATATGATAATCCCGTAGTGAATGCTCAACACATTCTATCAAATGTACTTATCTATAGAGTGTCCATGGTCTGAATTCCAATGGGAGGCTGTCTGAACACTCAACAAAATCAACCATCTCAGTACAGGAAAGGGCCTCGTTCGCCTGCTTCAGGGGCTCCTCCACAGTTCAGGGCTTGGACTACACGATCTCGACGATGCGACCAGTCAAAAAAGATCTGATCCGAATCCAAACAGGTAGGATTCTTCGCCACAAAACAGAAGCCGGATTTCACTCATGAATGAAATTGGGCACACTCTATCTGATTCTGCAGGACAGCAATGCAATCTCATCCTTTTCCTGCACTCTTCCTTTCGTGGGTTTAACCCCCTACCGAATATCGCACCTTGACAACAGAGGAGATGCCCTCAGACAAGCCCACAGCAATACTTGCATAACCCAAATCCAGACCTGCACAGAGTGATCTTGATGATGACCCCGGACCCTGAATTCAATGGGCCTATCAAACTATCATAGACTATGATAGAGCATCAGTGCATATCAGTGCATGGGTGAAGTTTCTTTTGTTCACGGGCCAATGTATTAATCTTCCTATTCACCGGGAGTGTATGCAACAGCAAGACCGAAAAGATTAGCTTGCGCGGCTGGAAAGTGACCGCAAATTCTTGAGTTGCGGCATGCTGAAAGTACATCATCCGTCATCATCCTGTAGGTTGGCCTCCCCTCCCGGAGCACTGCTGTCATGGCCTTCACTGAGGCTTAAAGCTTTCCGATCACCTGGGGCTCACAGGGTGAAATCCAGCTGCTACGTGAAGCTCAAGGAAAAATCATTGCACAATCTTCCTTGTCTTTCGTCTCCCAATTGACTCTTTTAGAAAAATCTTTGGTGAAGGGATGGCAAATTCAACATATGATAACATATGCAACGTAGTAAGACCATGTAATGTAACACCTGGGCAAGCTGAGTATATCTGAGTATCTTTACATCATGGCTACATTTCTTGCAGTGAAAGGTCCATCAGCGATCTGAGGCCACGTGCTTCCAATTGGCTGCCCTAAAGAACTGCCAACGGTGTCCTGTACCGCGCTGAGGGCGTGGACCGGGCTCAACGTGAGGAACCCCGGGACAATGCGTTTTCAAGTTTTTCAAGGCAAGTTTCAAGGTATTTTATGGTATTTGACATATTTTGACATGTGTCCCATCATGTGGAAGCATAACAAACACAGCGCATTCGTCCCAATTTGGCCACTGTTTGCTGAAGAACGGGTACAGTAAGAGAGGTGGGATTTTTTTAGTCGCTTGTCCTGATGAGTAGTTACAGTATCCACCAGGAAAGTCACGCTTACGGTTTACAGTTCACAGTTTAAAGGTACATAATCCACAGTGTTGTACTGTTGCTGCTTGCAGCGTATGACTTTTGCCATCCTGCGATTGCTGATTGAATCTCGTTCAATGGCTCCATGGTATGCACCCTGCTGAATGCTTTTCATCGTTTTTCATCGTTGAGAGCTTCCGGGAATTCTGCCACTCCAAACCTTTCCATCATGGTGAATCCCAAACAACGCAGCCAAATAGATCAGGATCAGTAGCCGGCATCCACTTCCAATTTTTGGTTGGCACATATGGCAGTGTGTCAAAACCTTGTACCCCTGGTGAACATCAAAATAGCTGGTAAATGGATGTTCATCCCACTAAAAATGGTATTAATAGGTATTGATCCATACCCATATTTGCACCTTTCACCCACTCCTCAGAAATTGCCCCCTAGGAAAAGCGGACAGGGCCTTCAAAGATCCCGACATCTTGGCGAAGGATTGCAGCGCACCACCCACAAGGCTCTCAGTCAAATCTGAAACACCACCTTAGAAATCCCCCGAAGATCCAGGATGATCCAGGTAGTTTCAATGGACATCACTGAAATTTGGGTGTCATCAACTTCATGAAGAACTTCCACTAGATGTGTCCTTTGTCTGCTTTTATTGGAACAGGGAAGTATAACAGCGATGTTAGGTGTAAATCAAAAATATTGGGAGATCCCAAACAAAAACGTACAGTAGCTCAATATTATGAATACTAAAAAATCAGCAAGATTCTGGAGAAGGAAGTACACTACACATAGTGCTGGATCCTGAAAGAATCTTTGCAGAGTTGTGAGGATTATGTATTAACTATTATAAGTAAGTAGTATATAGTATAATTAAGTACGTATAATATATAATTATATATATTATTATATATTTATATATGTGATTGCACCAAACAGCCTATACAATCTATACACGTGTGTCACACGGATACCTCAAATGCAAGTGAAATACGTCTATGCGAACCTACGCTGGTACAACGGAGATCTCAAACACAGCACCAGAATGCACCAGGTTTGTCCGCTAAGCTGCTGCCCAATCCAGCACGTTGACCCAGGACCTGCGCCAGCGCTCCGTCCATGCGGAACTTTGCACATCAAACCACCGAGTCAACTTGTCCAGGGCGTTGGTTTTTTTTACCAGCGAGTATGGAACCACTGTCAACAAGCAACAACAGGAGCTGCAACAAGAATAAGAAAAGGAAGAAGCACACAGCCGTGGCAGTTTCAGCAGGCGGAGGGAGAAGAAGAAGAAGAAGAAGAAAAGAAGAAGAAAAGAAGAAGAAAAGAAGAAAAGAAGAAGAAAAGAGGAAGAAGAAGAAGAAGATGATGAAGGAGCCTCTACAATGTTGACAACAAGTGCACCAACAAAACGGCAGCAACAGCAACAGGGGGGGAAGATGGAAAGGCAACAAGACCAACAGTTGGAACTACTGATAAATCTGATTTGGAACATGTTGGAACTACTGATAAGAAAGAAAAAAAACGCCAGTCACATAGCAGACATAGCAACAGAGTCTGAGATGGCGCCTCTTCTTTCGTCTTGCTGAAGAAGGACATGACACCACTGCCAATCTCATCCATCCTTAGCCACAGCACACATTGATGCATTCTGGAGATATCCCAACTGAGACCGTTATATATCCGTTATATCAATGTTGTTTTCCATGTTGTTTTCCATGTTTTCCTGCACATGGGTGGCTCATGATGCAAGACATCAAAACATCACCGGATTACCATCCTGATCACCGGATTAGCATCCTGGGTGCAGCGAATCAGTGTTTTAAGCTGCGTCATGGCTGGCCTTCCCACCTGGATCAGCTGGAGGCTGGGCTTCCCAGCAGGTTTGCAGGATCACCCAAGAGTTGCAAAGATCCCAAGAGCCGTGCCTCAAAACGGAAGATATGGGCAGATAGGGCAGGTGTTGACAAAGCTTCAGCCCCTGGGCACGAAATCCCAAGTTGAGATCCCAGCAGATTGCTGAAGAAGTTGCTGGATATAATGCCTCACACCGCAACAGCGCAGAGCCAAAAAAGTAAAATGCCCAAGGTACTCCAAAAAGATAAGAGGTACCGTATGAGGCTTGGAGAAACACTCCAAATGGGATTGAAAACATGTTGTTTTGAAGTCCTACCACTTCTTGATCTCCCACAGCTTGAGCTTTATACAGGCATTTGGCATTGCTGACCCGGCTCTACGACTTCATCTGAAACATTGACCCTCCGCCTCGCAACTGCCGATTGGAGGACTGGAAGATCAGCACTGGCGTCTGTGATGAGGAGTGGGTCGAACCTCCAGGCAAAGGGGTTGCGTGCACGTGCCAACTGCGTTAGAGCCACAAATTATCCGCTTTGCAAACGGAAGTACACACAGCAATATGACAATATCATAACAAGCCCATGGCTCGAGGATTCTAATTGTAGGATGCTTTAAATGGCTTTAAACATGTTTAAAATATGTACAGATTCCATATTCATGGAGATCTGCCTGAAACGTGGTGCAACATCTGCGAAGCTTGCGCCGAGACCTAGGCTGGTACACGGAGCGACATGACATCGAGGAGACTTTGGCCAAACTATGCAGCCTCCTCGATTCAACTCGATTCCACTCGCCCAAATCCGATCCCAAGATGTTTTTGCCACGTGGCTAAGCTAAACTTCGCGGCTAAGCCGTAAAAACGTCAAAACCGCTGGAATCCGCCAGAGATTCAGAGCTCGAGCTGCCCGGCGTCCGAAGAATTCGATGATGGGTCGCAAAGCACCGAAGCGTGAGCCTTGCTTCCTTGCCGGGGCTCATTGCTGCGAGATTTCTGGCGGATTGGATGGGCCACTTAGCATGTTATATACAGTATATACAGAATTTACAAAATGATACAAAATGTGATATACTGACTGTACAATCATATCTTGAAGATATATATATATATATACATACCTAGACAATGTCGAGCAACTTGAGACTTGAGGTCACTCCACCGTCAAACTTGCCAATGCTGCAATGCTGTACTATGGGTTGTAATGACAGCACAAATCTGTCTCTCGCCAATCCCCATTGTGTGCTATAGACTCGAGAATAAATCATCCCTCGCAGTCCCAAATAGGAATAGGATGGAATAGGCCTAGGGTATCCCTTGCCACCCATGAAGCTCCTCAGCTGCGCAGCTAAATCCGTGTCGCCCGAGAAGTCTGAGGTTTCCTGGAACGACAGAAGGATTGTCTACTTGAATTCGCACAGCCCGGCCAGAATACGCCAAAATTTCTACAGGGTAGCAAAAATAATGAAATCGAGACAAACGTACATTCCACATTGCATTTTGTCGAGATGTTCTCTTGGGAATGTCCAGAGTCACACAATCCACACATCGCGACATTGCAATGATATTACTTATATGCAGGCTGTACCATGATTATGTTTGGACAAAGTCACACCCTGTCTTGATGAAGGCACACAAGACTTTCTTTAGCTTTACTGGTGCCACCCTGAAACATCCTTAAGGCAGGTAGATCAATTCACAAAAGGTCATGTTCTATCTTCCTGCTGGACCAACATGGACCAACATGGACCAACATGGACCAACAAGGCACGTCAGTGTCATCCACTGCCTTCACGTCGCCCTTGCGCTGGGTGAGTTTCAACTCCTGCAAATCCAGGGGCCCGCAATGATCAAATAAATCAAATAAATGCGGTCTTGAGTGGTCAAAAATATCAAGGTACAAGCGGCAAAAAGTAGCATATTCTTCACTGTCGAGTACCCCACGGAATGGATATAGAGAGATTGTGTGCTATTGTGTCTCGTTGTTCATCTAAAGTCTACGGTCTCTGGCATTCTTGTCTGCGTTGTAGATGCAAAAGGACGTCAACTCACACTGAGCCACACAAATAGATCAGACAATTATCGAGAGGTTCCAATCTTAAGTGGCGGCAAACCCAAAAATCGTGTGACTCGATGTCGCACATATTGTCGTCCACAAATATCAGCTTATGTACAACTAGAATCAACAAGAACAAGATAGCCCCTGTCAAAATGGACAAACTCATGAACTGCTCAAATCATGGAAAAACCTTCCCCCATCTTGCCCTCGACTCCACTTGTAGATGAGGTTCGGTTGATTTCCGTTTTGCCAGTCGCAAGGTGCGCAAGGCATCTAGGTTCCCCTGCCAGGTTCAAGGAGATGGCCTGTGCTTGCAGCAAGCCCACCGAACAAGTCCTAAGCATCCACAGGCTGACAGTGACGGATCAATTGATACTGTATATCAATTGATACAAGATGGTATAAGATGATATAAGATGATATAAGATGATACAAGATGATACAAGATATTGCCAACCACCTACAAGAGCCTACCTTGTCCGACATATCCATGTCAACGTTGAGCTGCATTCGGAGGCTATCAAGCACAGAACAATAATTTGATGTAAAATATGCAAACATGGATAAACGTGGTATGAGTATGAGTATTCGCAACTCAGATGATCAATATACATAATACTGTACATATAAATACCAATGTAAATTAGAAATAGATGGAAGTGGATAGGAGTGACATGGAGTGATACATAGTGATACAATACGTGTATATATGTATATTACGTGTGTATACTTTGAAAGCGAAGGACCTGTGCTTCAAATCAAAGCGCTTTCCAGTCATCTGGCGTACCGTTGGTCATCTAGTGCTGGCCACTGGTGCTGGTCGCAATTGGTCGCATGAACCAGGTTTGATTGGTAGTGCACTTTTGAGCTCACTTTCTCCTGACAGTTGGGAAAGTGTTGCCTATACTTTTGCGTTTCTTGAAAGGCCATCTAGAGTGTGCAGCACACACCATCTAGAGATGCTGGCACCTGTGAGAGAATATGGTGCCACGCTTGAATACACTGCAGTTCCCTTGGTGGTCGTCCCTGAAACAACCACATGCAAGGTACAGTATTTGCATCTTTCGCAGCACAATCTACATAGGGAGCCTTGCCTGTCAACCTTAGCTATTATTTTGGACCGGTGAACAAGTTCTGCGACCGATGTGGAGTCTCTGGTGACCAGAAAACATCAGAATACTAACTTAAACCATCTTAAACCAACTGGGCCCTTTTGATCCTCCCGTCAGCCACCTTGGTGCCGCACGTCTGTCCGGTTGAGGGCATCTGAAAGCTAGTCATCAGTACCTCAGGTGACATTAATCGTGAGACAAGTGAGAGAGGTGTGGGTAGAACGGGTAGAACAACACCCGGGCATATGAGGGCATAGGAAATTTTGAAAGTTGAAACATTCGGAGGACTTTTCTCTCAGTACCTCATCCAGTCAAACAGTATGGTTCGTCAGCAATTGCTTCAGGCTTGTAGACTCCAGTAAATTCATATGCACAGAAGATAGTGAGGTAGGAATCAGAAGACCTGATACATCTTGATACGGAAGGCTCTTTTGTAGAGTGAATATCAAAGTATATCAAAGTCAAATGACTTAGAGATATCATGAGATTTCAATGTGGAAGAGGAGTCTTGACAGAAGCGGGCCCAGCGGGCCCACCAATGACGACCGCTCATTGCCATAATTTCTCCCGCTGAGGTGTCCAGACACGATCCAACAATTCAATGTTGTCGGCTGCCAAGCCTTGAAGGACTAAAGGAGCTGCCATGCTCCCTAATACTAAAAGATACTAAAAGGATCTAAAAGGGACCAAACCTTCAAAACGTTCAGGACAACAGAATCCCAAAGCATGTTTCCAAAACTACTCCTGGCCCTGGGCGGCTCAGAAATGCCAGACATTGCCAGACTAGTGTGGTTTGAACCGTTTGAATCTCTGACACATGGGCGGCCAAGATGGCTGAGGTGTCGAGCCTTGCTGGTCCAGGGAACTGGTCCAACCTGCATCATCCAGCACACGGAAGGGGACCCAAAGACCCCTGGATGGATCTTGAAGTTGATATTTGAATGCTGCTTGTATAGTAAAATATGAAAGATTATATAACTAACTATATATATAATATATATATATGAAAGATTATGAAAGACTAGTAATGTCCAGGTCTTGATCATCCATATCATGTCAATGTTTGAATATGCCTACCCAGTCACTAGTTGTCTGTCCTGAGAATCAGTAGTACAAGTAGGATGCGTTGTAGTTGTACAACTGAAAATACAAGTTGTAATTGCAATGGACTACTCACTCGAAATAGAAACACGCAAATTCACTGCAAATAAGGAAGACTAACTATTTCCTAGCTGTTGCATTTGTTTGCAAGTTCCCGCACGCTAATCTCATGCGCAAGCCTCCAAGTGGTTGGTATTTGGCACGTGGATAATTCATTACAAGTTTCCAAGTCCATCCTTTAGTAATGCATGGTCCCCTGTACACTACACGGTTGGCCAACGCTATTGTAGGCCTCGGACCCTCTCCAGGCAATGCTTGGTGCAAACTTTGAAGACTTAATGTATTCTACTGATCTCATCTGATCTCTACACGTGAGTGAGGCTGGGTAGAGTCAGATGTCAGATGTCCATAATACATATATCATATGTATATATACATATAGGTAAATATTCACGTGCAGGGGATCCTGAGGTGG